TGTATTACTTTCTATTTCACGTGGGTGTCTAGTCAGTTACGTGTCCTACAGAATCGTGAATTTCGAGCAGGTTATGTTAATAAGCAGGTCACCATGTCTTTACATCATCCACTTGGCATTGACTGTACGAATGGCATTAACGATTCATCTCGTAATATCATAGCTCGATAGAAATCTATAGTTTTTTACAAGATGCGCATGGGAACTCCATTCATCTGGGGATAACACTCGAAAAGGCTACGTCGAAAAAGTGCTTTGAGGAACTCCGTTAGAATGTTTAACACCAAAGACTATTTGTGATGCTAGATGATGTAGCGTTAATGTACTACAATATTCATAATTACCCAGACAGCACATGGATGTCCATGGACGTCCATTATATGTCCATTTTTTTTGACAAAAGACGTCCATAGGACGTACGTTTGTCACAACTTCGGACATAGGACGTCCGATGGACGTACATCGGACGTCCTACAGGTCCGATGTCCAATAAGGACATCCTTATTATGTCCAATTTATGTCCACGGACGTAAATCGGACATACGGACATAAATTGGATGTGAAACGTACATCCACTGGATGTCCGATGCTGTCTGGGTATGTGCTATCAGCACTATTATTCTCGAGATAGTGCATAGGTAACATCAGCGCTGATAAACTTCATGAACATTAAAAATACTATGAACATATCACTATGGAAAACAGACCCTTTTTGTGTCATTGCATTTGAATGTTACATCATTGTTTTATTATTTGCATATATGATGGATAATTCTCTGTGGGAATAAAGTTTCAGGATACTGAGACTGAAAAGGAGTTTAAACTATAACTCATCAGCTAGTGTTTTTGAATCGCAAACCAATAAGTTCGTTAAATGGTATACAACGATATGATGCAATAATGTTAACTATTATTGTTCGTAGAGTTCGTTATTATTACCCAAGCAACATAAAATATTGCCAAATATCTATATCTATAGCAGCCAACTGTTGGTCAATTAATTTGTGTTGCTCGCGCTCTAAAAGTAATTTCAATACCATAACATAGCAATGTTAGTAGCGTTAATGACATCTCCCTAAACTCAAACATTCAGAAAGGCCTATCTTCGTTCGAAACGGATGAAGATTGCGGCAAGAACAGGTCGCCGAATAGGTCGTATGAAATTATCTCAGACCTGTTTTTATTCATCGTCGATTGTATAATTAATAAATCTACCGTCGATAGCCTTGAAAGATAACCTTCCCCGACGTCCGTTTCGCCCTATCATGGCCCTGAACAGAAGGATGCATCTTCTTTGGCGAACACGCCTCACCTCCCAGAAGCTAAGCAACGGATTTGAGAAGCACAGCTGCACGCATCATACGTGATTTGGATGTGAATTGCCATTCAATAGACATGGCTAGCAGGTCTATCTATATAAACCATCGCCGAACAGACAGCAAAGTTTAGTCGGTCGATCGTTTCAATCGTGAATATAGGCTTCTCGACGGTGTTCTTCTGTGGATGACGAGGAACTATGACACTTTCATGACGTTACCCCAGGTGAGGATGTACACCGCCCCTTGTATCGTTCATCGTATTCGATCATTAATGTAATTAATCGTTCCCATAAACGCGTGGTGCCTGAGCAACTGATGCTGCTTACGCTTCGCGTCTTGTGCTGCGCAAAATCAAATTCTTTTTCGCCGAATTAGCAAGGACGATTGCACGACGCTGAGGAGATAAATGTGACGCCACGGTATACTTTGGATAATGATATAACCGATTGTCGTTGTTCCCTGAAGAGCTTACGGTATGTACCAAATACGCAGTTGTCATTTTCCAGTGTTTCATCGTCGAATAGTTTCATCACTCCGCGTTTCGTTTATCTTCTCGTGCCGCAATTATCTTAAATCTACAGCTTTTGAAAACTTCCGTTTTTACTCTTTGTTGTAAAATGTAATTAACTAGCCAGTGTACGTGTGGTGACCAGTGGTTCAGTAATCAAACAGTCACTTCGAGCGAAGATCCGAGCTACTAAAACCACACCTCATCTCATCGCGCGGATGTCGCGCGATTATAAACACGCTTAACGTTATGAAAAGTTCAACTTACAAAACTAACGTTGAAGCTATCGAATGAAAGCGAGCTTTCTCGCAATGTAGTAGTATTGCGCAACTTGAATAAATGTCGTACGTAGTGTACACGCGGTAGTACACGCACTGAATAAGAATAAAAAGCAAATACAAACGGCGGTGACGTTTGCGAGAACTTATCAATTTCGATGTCAGTGGACGTTGGTGACACGTCGAAGAGAGTCAACATTGTCATAAGAATCGCGAGGAGTCGAACGCGTTAAGAGGAAATTCAAATATTCGACTATGTCAAGAGATACAGAAGAATATTCATGCGGTGCGTGTGATGCGAAGCAACATCGATTCTACGCACCTTTTGCGGGCTGTAAGTGACTTTGCGATGGAGGGAGGCTGGCTCATTTACCGGCATATAAATACGCAGGCGGTATGCAAGAATGTGGAAGTCTGTTAGCTGATGTCAAATCGCGCGTTTTTCAATTATAATCGCCTCGAATTTTTCTACATCGTGTTGTTGCATAGGTATTCGCATCGTCGGTTTGTGCATCGATCGATCCGTAAAATATCGCGTGTGCGGCCGTGAAATCTTTCAAGACGCTGCTGGATTTTCGACGATTCAAATCAGAGTTGATTCTCGTCACGATCACGAAGACTAACACGTGTTGTGGACCTATCGAGCCGAAAATCACCCGAGAATCAAGTGCACCAGACGCTCATATTGTATAAATATTTATTAAGAGCAGATTTTTTTAATTGCTTATACACTTTGCTCGCTCCTCTAACAGATATTCTTGAAGATTTCCTCGCTACTAAATGCCGTAAAAAAACTTGTCGAAATGCTGCTATTAAAATACTAGCTTAACGAGTGAAAAGATATTAGAAAAGCGCTTTGATCGATACCTCCCTCGTAGCGAAGCTTATTGCTATGCGATCGATATACTCGCGCAGCACTCCACTTGCATACCTCGACACGTCAATTAACAGACTTGCTATCCTGAATTGTTAATGCGAGAAAATAAACTCTCCTCGTGGAATGTGACGAGCGAACTTCTCTCGTTGTCAAATAGGACGATATTATTTGCGATGCCGAGCAAATCAACAATAAATCGATAAAACGATAAAATGCATCGTATTAATATATCTTTATCTGTGTGTATGTTCTCTTTTTTGTAAATTACGTGTGTATGTATTATGTTTTCTCGTCCATTATATGTACCATTTGTAATGCAGTTTAGCTTTGTATTGCTTAGGTTATAATTATAGCATCAATTTTTAAGAAGCTTAAATAATAAATGTCAGTTATAAATACGTTTAAAATATTAATAGTAATTTCCTCATTGTCTCGTTAAGTTACACTTTTACGACAGTCATGATGCGCGTTTATGACATGCATCTTGAATGCACGAGAATTAATTATGTTTTATTTCCCGCTCACGTGCTATCCTGCACAGACTGCCGAGAAACGAAAGAGAGAGAGAGAGAGAGAGAGAGAGAGAGAGAGACAGAGGAAAGATATGTTAAACAAAGCTGAAGTAGTCACATACGCGAGACACTTCTCGTTTCATCCTTATTTGCACATCCTTTTAGCACGCTTGGTCTAAGTGGCAAGTGATTTTAATGGAATTCCGTCATAAAATGTTCTTATCGTGTCTGACAATTTGAAATATGAATTAATTGATAGAGAGACCAAGAGCCTTCTCGAAAATGCATCTTCTCATCATTTCATCGCGATTTCTCATCCGTTTCTACTAATGCCAAATTGCAATGTTTCGTAATTGTAGTTGAATCGCACGCCAGGCGAGATGTGGATGTACGTTACCTTCCTATTTGTTATCTACGCCCTGTACACGTTGTGGGACTACGTGAGAATCTACAGATTTGTCTTCACCCTTAATGGACCGAAAACCGTGCCTATACTGGGCAACGCGAACGCTCTTCTCGAGAAAAACTGTGAGTAATCAACGTCGTTAATTAAGAAAAACGAACGTAATCGTCCGAGATTAATCGTTCTTAAGTGAGTTGTTTTCTTTATGACGAATAACGTACTTAGGACAACTGTCGCGTTTTCGTTTTAGTAATGCAGAGGTTCGCGAACGAAAAGTCAGATTACGGTCGCATTTTCCGGATATGGGTGATATTCTTGCCGTATGTCGTGCTAATAGAACCGGAGGACATCCAGGTAGTGCTCAGCAGCATGAAGCACACACGCAAGGTAGGCTTCTACAGGCTGCTCAATAATTTCATTGGCAAGGGTCTCATCTCGCTGGAGGTCGACAAGTGGAAGGTGCACCGGAAAATCTTGCAACCGGCGTTTCATCTTCACGTACTCAAGAGTTTCATAGCGACGTTCAGCGAGTGCGCCGATCATCTAGTCAACAAGCTGCTCGAGAGGAATGGCGAGGAAGTGAATCTCACAGTGTTCATTAACAATTCCGTCTACGACATATTGCTCGGTAATGCATCATTCTTTTTTATTCGTTTTGAACTCCGTCATTTTCACAGGGAATTTTTGCCCTATCTTCGATGCGAGAATGCTAGGCTAGATACATGAGATGTGCGAATCAAGAATTTTTATGTCGAATCGAATCGAATCGAATCTCATTTTTTAAATTCGAATTCGAATCGAATCGGATCTATGAAATTTCACTCGAATTCGAATCGAATCGAATGAAATCGAATCGAATCATTAAAAAATTTAACATGACTATTAAACATGCAAATAATGATGGAAGATTTTAATATGAAAGAGAATATTGATAATGTAATATCATCTTAAAGTAAAATATATATTTAAATATTTCAAGTAATTTATAATTAAGTTGTTAATTATAAGTCAAGTTAATTGCAAGTTAAGGGTTCAAACATACAAACCCAGATGTCCTGTTTTATAGCTGATGCACGCAAACAATAATGTATTTGATTCCTATTCGTATTATTCGGGTTCGAATCATAGGGATTTGGATTCGAATTCGAATAGTTCGCACATCTCTACTACGAGGGCAGTCTGAAAAGTTCTCGGCCTGACACATAGATGGCATTAGAAACTATAATTGTATTGGAAAGTGGCATCCTTGATATAAACCCATGTCAAATTTTATTTCGATCTGTCAAGTCATTCGAGTAGTAGCACCAGTTTAATATTGACATGTCATTGTCTTTTTTAAAATGGAAAAGATTGAATATTGTGCAGTGATTAAATTTTTTGTTTTGGATGGTTTAACACCAACAGAAATTCATCCGAAATTGTTAAAAGTATATAAGGATGCATAACCTTCACTTTCCACTATGAAAAAATGGGCTACTCTTTTAAATCTGGTCGTACAAGCCTCGACGATGATCCACGCGAAGATCATCAAAAAACTGCTATAACACCACAAAACATTCAACAAGTCCATTATATGATGTTAGATGATCGACGAGTGAAAATGCGTGAAATAGCTGAGGCCATAGGCATCTCAAAAGAACGAATTGGAAATATTTTGCATGAAGAATTACATATGAAAAAGCTTTGTGCAAGATGGGTGCCGCATTTGCTAACAATTGACCAAAAACGCATTTGAATGCGTATTTCTTAAGCGTGTTTGGATCGTTTTAAGCAAAATAAAATGGATTTCAAGCGTCGTTTCATAACTATTGATGAAACTTGGATCCACCATTATACACCAGAACGAAAAGAACAGTCGAAACAATGGATTGAAGCCGGTGGACGTGCACCAAAGAAAGCAAAGACGGTTCCATCAGCAGGAAAGGTTATGGCAACAGTTTTTTGGGATTACAAAGGTGTTTTGTTGATCGATTATTCTTCAGAAAGATAAAACGATTAAATCTGAATATTATTGTAACCTTTTGGATCTATTGGATGCAAAAATTCGTGAGAAAAAACCTGCTTTAAAGAAGAAAAGAATCGTTTTCCATCAAGACAATGCACGTGTTCACACAAGTGTTTTGACAATGGCAAAATTCAACGAATTAAAGTACGAATTGCTTGAACATCCAGCGTATTCACCAGGTTTGGCTCCCTCTGACTGTTATCTGTTTCCAAACCTGAAACAATTCCTGACTGGAAAGCATTTTACATCAAATGACGGAACTATTGCAGCCGTGGATGGATATTTTGCAGACCTTCCGGAATCACACTTTAATAATGGTATTGAATTATTGGAAAAACGTTGGAATAAATATATTGAAGTTTTAGGAGATTATATTGAAAAATAAAATTATATTTCACGGCAAAAAAAATTTTCTTTCGTTGTTAGGCCGAGAACTTTTCAGACTGCCTACGTAGATACCAGAATAAGATCTTTTGCGAAGAATCGCGTTTATTTGTTTTACGTCATAACAATGCAGTTTTCTCGCGTAAATCTTTTTCATTTCCATTAAACGTTACAAATTTCGATGAAATTACAAAACGTTATACATGAAACGTATCGTCTAATCATCAGGAAAAGATGTGTTATTATGCACTAAATGATTCAGCGATTGTCATGCATCGATCAGCGCAGATAATATGGTTGTAAATAAACGTTGTTTTCAAAATAGTCCTATAGCTATAACAGTATCTTACTTTTTTAATACTTTGTTTTATATATTTCGCATGAAATATCGCGCTGAGGAAATCATGCGTGTAACATTATAAAAGTACACGCGGATATAATGTTACAGTAGAAATAATAATAGAATTTGAAAAATAAGAAACATGTCAACATCTTACTTTTATCTGTTATATTTTCGTGCCGTTCCATGCATTTCGTTATCTGCATTTCCATGCATTTCGTTATACCTTCATGCGTCCCGTCCCATACATTCTGGGGACTAACGTCTGCTGTTTACAAATTTGCTGTCAATATTTCTGATTTCAACAATATTTAGAGACCTGCTCAATCTAGATTCCAGATTGGTTTTCAAAAATAAATTCACGACGCGACATCAACCCATATCGAACAATTTGTTTGTTGTTCTTAGCAGGACAAATTCTACTGTCAGTCTCTACTCCTGTACTAAAAGTTATAATAAAAAGGGAAAAAAATGTATATAAAGAAATTGAAAAGAATTTGCGAAAAAAGCCATAATATTCTATATTCGTGTATTAATTGAAATATTTTCCTAATATTCGAATGTTTGTCAATGTGTCTCATCGATGCTTCACATAATCGAAGGAAAACGAACACGCTGTGTATTTGACTTGCAAAACGGAATTGAAATATTTCTGCGGTTAGATGTATTTTCGTGCTTCATTGAATGCGCATAAAGTGTAAATAAACGCTAATTGCGCCTACGAGACAATATCTATTAATGTGCATGCATACAGCAGCACAAACGGACGTATGCATCATATGCTGCGATAAAGATGCGTTTGTTTTTCGACGTAGTCGTTTGGAGAAAATCGATACGGATCGCGAACGATCGTTAATACACACGGGATGTCCTCTTTCTTCCAGAAACACACGCCTTTGCGAAGGAAGCGGCTAATTAGCACGAAAATACAAATCGAGAAATTCCACAGGCACATACATATACGGTTGAGTAAAACCCGTATGTTGATTTTTAGGATCTACGTATCGCTAAAAATTGTTTAAGTCTTTAAAAAGATATGTTTACTCCTCGAGTTTCCATCGGCCGTACTTTAACATTCGATCGGCAATGTTGATCTCGATGGTCAAATATTGACCATACTATTTGCTTAGTCATTATTTCTTGTTTCCTTTTTCTTTTAGAGACCATATTGGGTATATCAGCAAGTCGAGGAGACAATAACAGCAAGGCCGATATGCCGTTCGGAAAGTGAGTGCAACGTCAGCACAATTAGCGAAGCTTAAGTGAAGCTTCACGGACATTGGAGCGCGTAACTTACGTGCATCATGATCTATACGGCGATTATTAATGTTCACTATGTATTTCATACAACAGAGGCCAATTTATGGCGATACAAAGATTCGTGCGGCCGTGGCTGCTGATCAACTGGATCTACCGATTGACGGAGGCCGGTAAAATGGAGCAGCAGCAACAGAAGAATCTCATCAACTTCTGCTGCAGGAAGATGAAGGAGAAACAGGAGTTTCTTCAGAAGAATAGTTCCTTGATAGTCGAAGATGAGTCGGATGCGCCGATCAAGAAGATAACCTTGCTCGAATACATGATTAAGATCAACGAGAAGAATCCTTCCTTCATCGAGCAGGACATCATTGAGGAATGCTGCACCTTCATGTTAGCCGGCATGGAGTCTGTCAGCACCAGTACCGCGTTGACGCTCTTTCTGTTAGCGCTCAACCGCAATTGGCAAGAGAGATGTATCGCCGAATTGGACGAGATCTTTGGGGACGACAGGAGATCGCCCACCATGCAGGATTTGAAGGAGATGAAGTGTCTGGAAATGTGCATCAAGGAGTCGTTGAGACTGTATCCCAGTGTGCCGCTTTTCGCCAGGGTACTTGGAGAAGATGTGAGAATAGGTGAGATTCGAGGATACCTTTGATGATCTTCAGTACTTTTTTTCTTTTCAGTAGATCTCATAATCCTAGTTTATTGTCTATAAACTTTCGCGAGAAACGTGAGTCTGTAAAGGCTTCAGAACGACTTGAACGTAACGACTTATACATAAGAGTTAATCTGAACTTATTACCGTGTCGCACAGGGAAGCAAATAATACCAGCCGGTTGCGGTATATTTATACTGCCGTATTCCACGCATCGCTTGCCTAATCATTTTCCCGATCCCCATGACTTCAAACCGGAACGCTTCAGTCCCGAGAACTCGAAAGGAAGACATCCTTATGCTTATTTGCCTTTCAGCGCCGGACCTCGGGACTGTATCGGTAAGAGAGGCGAAAACGAATTAATAAAACGAATCGTATGCTTGCTTGATTCTACTAGATTGTACGTTAAGTAATCTTGAATTTTTTCCCACATAAAATAAAACAATTCTGTGTTTTGATATCGTTATAATCTTGTGAAATAATACATACGAAAGATGACAAAAGATCATAAATGAAAACGGCATGCACATTATTTCATAAAATTATAACGATGTACAAATATAATGGTTTTATTTTGAAAAATCTGAGATTACCTGTACAATCTAATACAAGATAAATCTGGCTATTCTTCACACTTATTTTTATCTTTTTCAGGACAAAAGTTCGCCATACTCGAAATGAAATCGATCATCAGCGCTATATTGAGGAGGTGTCGACTGGAATCGATATGCGGGAAGGAAGAAGTGATACCCAAGTTTCGAATGACAATTAGAGTACATGGTGGACTCTGGGTCAAAGTAAAACCGCGCGATGAATGCAACTATTAGCGAAACGCAGCTATTAGCTTGATGAGCCAACTATAATTTTGCGCCCTGTAAATAGATAATAATTATATTGTACATTGAGAGGAATAAAAGGAAAGAAATCGACTTTGTATTTTAAAAGCTTACCTTTGCAAAAACAAGTATGCTCAAAGTATCTGGAGTAAATCCAGCTGAAGGAAAAGCTAGTTTTATAAATGCCATATTATAAGTCATTGACGAGAAATCATCAACTTTAAATTAAATATTGTCATTATATTTTATTGGATAAATGCGAAGCATGACCGAATTCAACATACAATTATGCGGAAATTTCTTATAGAATTAAATGCGAAAAAAATGTTTGATCAGTCTCATTATTCTTTTAGTTTTCTTATCAATGCAGTTTCGAAATTATATCTTCGATATCAACTGATAACAAAGAATTATTATTAACTCCATTTTCTTAATTCTATCTTTTCATTAAAAAAAATAAAAAGTGCAAATACGCAATAAATGTATGTACAGTATATATATATATATATATATATATATGAAATTGTGTGTAATCTTTTTGTAACGAATCATGATGTAATCATAATGATAATAATAATCATAAGAAATAAGTTAAACTTGAGTTATCAGATGGCACTGATTTCCATATTTATTTCTCTAATATACTTTCTCGCAAAGTTCCTTCTCTCTTTCACTAGATCTCAAATATATGTCTATTCTACTCTAACACAGCGCAGCAGATAAGGAGACCACTAACAGGACCACCCGTGTAATCTCATCCCCACCACTGTTGTCATTTGCGTCTGACGTGTACGTTAGAAGGTTGTCAGTTGGTCAGTACGTGATTGCGAACTAAACATTGTCATCACGTACAGAGAATACGTTACGAAATTTGACAAGTTAAAAGTGAACTTCATATCTCTATTGACACTTTTCAACAAGAGTTCGACGTTCTATTTCAAACATGGTCTATGTGACAGATGGTAATATACTTTAACCTAACCTTATGCATATCATGACTAGAAAATATATCCTTATATCATATACACGATAATTTGCTTATAGACGGTAGCGTAGTGAACTCTATTCCATGGAGTTTGAGGAGAATCTTTGGGCTTTTCACAGGATTAATCTACATGGTCATTATGTTGTAAGTGAAATAACGAATGCAATAATAACTGAATAAAGTTGAAATCAAAGTTTAAAATGTAAATTTTGGATTCACTAATAAACTTGTGTCCTTTCTTTTCATGTATGATGCAATGGACATGATGGAGACAGCTTTCAAACATTGATTAATCCTAATATGAACCAAGCAAGTGGTCAATCTACAAGTTTCCGGTCAAGTTCTGGGTAATGTATCCCCATAAAATAACATTCAAATCAAGTGATAAACTTAACCTAAAAGAGGTATTAATTTCAATGATTATTTATTGCATAGGCTGCATCCTCCTACCCGTAGACTTGGTAGACCCAATACAGGAAACAATGTTGACATTCCATTTTTTGGAGGTTGCAGCAGTTGTGCGAAATGAATAGGCTTAAGAGATAATCGAAAAACTGAATTCAAGACTATGTTTCGCATCAATTTCTGCACGATCTTTGTTATATAAGATGACTTTATCTATCCAATCGTAATAAATCATTCTTATTAAAGTTAGATTTCTAACAATTGCTATGAATCTTTAACTTTTTATATTTTTTTACAGAATAAGTTTCTATAAGTTTCATGGAGCATTATTTATTTGTTTTATATAGAATGTAAAAATTATCTCTTTAACAAGATTCAACAATACATTTTTCTCTTATTGAGCAATACATTTAAATAATACAAAAAGCAATAATCACCCATGAAAATAATATAACGATATCCTTTATTGAACACCTACCGAACTTACATATTCATTAAAATATTATAAACGATTATAAATAAAAAGAATCGTCGGATGTGCATTAATATATCCGATAATTATTTTATATTTACAATTGTATGTATATTAATTAAGAAATTGTGTATATATTAAGGTATATATTAATTAAGAAAACGAAGTCTGACAAGCGAAGTCTTCTGTATTATTGTAAATGAAATAAAGTGGTATAATCTAGCGAGACTTTGTGTTCATGTTTGTGTGTGTGTATGTGATGTATAAATACAATAGCTTTGTATACCTGTTAGATCGAAGCAAATCTCTATATCCGATGTGATAAGATCACACTGTAGATTCGAGATTCCGTTCATATATATGATCATTTCTATGAGAATTATAAGATCTTCGTGATCAGACCCGCCGCAATGGTGGTACCTTCCAATCGCAACATAACTCTACCTAGCTGCTTAATATCCTTGTATAATTCCATGCAGACCGGGTTCTGCATCGCGACCTCAATAATCGCGCTCGAGTTCTTCGGCAGACAACGCGGTTTTTTCTTGATCACGTCGCCGTTGCTTCTGTGAAGCTGTGCGATCAGTTTTGTGATGACTGCCGGCTGTACCAGCGATTGCTGATGCATCACCACCGGTAGCCCCTTGGTGATCGGTTTTGCTATCGCGAATACAACCACATGCGCTTGAAAGCACGTGGTCACCGGCACCGGGTTCTGCGGATTGCAAATGATGTCGCCGATGCTCACGTTCTGTTGTTCGATGCCCGCTAAAGTCAGGGCAACGTGATCGCCAGCGAATGCGTTTGTAGTCGAGACTTCGTCTGATTGAAGACCTGGAAAATGACATTTCGAAAGTGTCAGTTCCCTTTGAAAACATCGCGACGTGGCTCGGTGGCAGGTCAACGTTCGATATAGACCTTTAACAATGGCGACTTCGTTTCGAGGTAGTATTAAAACTTTATCGCCTAAAGATACCATGCCTGTTTCAATATGACCGGACACGCAGAAGCCAGATCCAGTACCCTTGAATATATCATTGACCGAGAAACGGAATGGCTTATTTACAGGTCGTTCTGGGCATTTGAAATTATCAATTACACTGACTAGAGTAGGTCCGATATACCTGCGGAGTCACTTGGTGAGAAATGATTTCAAATTAAACACACCATTTATCAAGATCAAGTCACGGTTACCAGCTAGAAAGTTGCTCCTTCGGTTTCGTTACTATATTCTCGCCGGATAAACCGCTGCAAGGCACAAAAGTGACGGTGTCCTTGAAGCCAGCCTGTTTCAGGAACACACTCATCTTATCGACGATTTCATTGAACCTGTCCTTTGACCAGTTTACAGTATCCATCTTATTCACGACCACCGCCAGCTGCGACACACCTAAAAAATCCAACAAAATAGAACAAAACGTGTTAGTAAATCTAATGTCCGCACGTTGATATATCCATACTTGACAATTTAACAACAGATAACAGGAACATGGATTAAATTACCTAAAGAACGTAACAATAGTGCGTGCTCACGCGTTTGACCTCCGCTGTCGAATCCAGTCTCGAACTCGCCTCTGGTCGCGTCAACCACCAACAGAGCTACGTCCGCCTGCGTGGCGCCAGTTATCATGTTCGGGATGAAGTCCTTGTGGCCAGGTGCGTCCAGCAGGGTAATGGACTTTGTATCAGTCTCGAACTTTGAATGGCCTATATCCATTGTAATTCCACGTTCCCTGTGAAATATGTTCTGTGAACTTTGTGAAATTTGAGACTTTGTGAAATTTGACGGTTGTATAATCGCATTTTTTTTTTAGTATTTGTCTAATTTATATATATATATGTATCTTTTTCTACGATCACTTTGTGAAGAAAAGAAAAAGGAAAGGAAAAAAAAAGCACGTTCAACCAATTATCTTTTCTAAACCTATGATTACCTTTCCTCGCCGGTCTCATCGAGCACCCATGCGTATGCGAACGACTGTTTCCCTATCTTCTTGCTCTCTTGCTGATACTTATGAATGAGCCTCGACGGCACTTGACCCAAGTCGCAGAGCAATCGGCCGAGCAGAGTACTCTTTCCGGCATCTACATGTCCCACGACCACCAAGTGAAGCTGCTCTTTACTGTCGCCCCGCTTGTTTTTATATATTGCCTGAACGTCCACAACCTTCTCTTCATTGGACGCGTTTGACTTCACCTTAGCGTCCAATTCCGGCGTCACATGTCCCGACACGGGCGACTGGCATCGCGGGCTGTTCGTCTTCGAGGAAAATCCTTTCTTTTCCTTCTGTATGATATCTTCCTTGCTCTTGATCTCTGGACTGTTCCGATCAGACGACGGGCTCTGGCACCGCGGGCTTAATAGATCAGTGTTCTCTACGCCGCTCAAGTCAAAACCCTTCACTACGGGCCTCATTCCGGCCGGTACGACCTTCACTGTAGATGATGTCGTGACTTGCAGAGCGGACTTGGATGACAATTTGTTACCTGTTGTGAAATGCGTTCTCAGCCATGTTAGTCGTGTGCAGAAGGAAGCATGAAAATGAGTCTTTTGTAGTAAATAATTATATTGTTAATGTAAGCACAAAAATAACGTATAAACATAACAGAATTGTACATCTGATATAATTAAATATAATCATATCATATATAATTTGTACGATTTGCAAATTGTATTATGTATATATATCACTGTATATAACTTTCCTTGGTAAATTAATATTCGAAACTATGTATAATTGGAATCAATATAATTAATAAGTATTATAATTCATCCGGTTTTGTATAATACTTTACGTATTTCCTCAAAATCCAAAATATACAAATACAACACATCCGTCATACACTATACGGCAGTATTTCAAATTCAAAAATTAAGGCTAAAATAGAACAACTTATATAACCGTTAGAGAGATAAAAGTAAATGATCGATAAAATATGCTGAACTTAAATCTAAAATCTCTAAAATCAACGTCGTTAATCCGTGTTATAGTTCACATACTCTATCTATACTTCGTTAATTATTGAGACCGATTTGTTTTGTGATACGGAATAGAGAAGTCAAAAGGCTCAACCGTCTCACGATTCTGTACGAGAACTTTAAGAATTGGTTTTCTCGTCTTCCATTTTCTGCATAAGGTTCTTCCAAACATGGAAATATGTTTTTTTGTATAACAAAGCTTAACATGTCTTAAGGAACCCAAGTTTAAAGTTATTGGTAACATATTCGGTATTATTACATCGGTTCCATTCTTCATATATATCTCCAAATTAGGTGCATCGCGATAAAACTTTCCCGACGCAACCGAATTGCCAAAAGCGCTGTCGGTCAGGAGTTTTGCCTCTTTCAAAGCAATAGTCAAGTCGATCACGCAACTGTCAGGCGATGGAGAACGTATGTCGTTTATAGCAGTCATTGGATTTTGCAATTGTTTTTCCAATCTCACGTCCATCACGACGTCATTTTTCGAAAGAATATTCATGTTTGAGAAATCTGTCTGTAGTAAATCCACCGAATATTTATTCAAGTTACTGTTGTATACCAACTGTCTTTCGGAGGATTTTAATAGAGATTTATTTTTCGTTGCCTCGCTGTTATCCGTAATTGACAATTTAGGAATGACAAATTGCAAATTCGGCGATTGTTCTCTCTCGAGAAGTTCCTTGTCATCAGTTGGACTAGATTTTTGCAAGTGGTGCGCGGTTAAGGCAGCTAAAGAACTGAAGGACTGTGAGTCCGCGTTATGCCGCGGTGGTGTCTTCGTTATATTTAAATTTACAGATTGTGTATGATTATTAAAAGTGAGTCCAGCTAATGATGAAAAAGTTGTGGGAGAACGTTTGACATTTCTTAAATCGTCTATGCTATTGGAACAAGATGTAGTGGAAGCACAATCTTCAGGTGAATTATATTCCTTCTTGAAGGAAAGTTTAGGTATCGTGAATAAAAATGTGTTAAGCTTATCAACTGAAACACCTTACCTTACCGATGAAGTCCGGTACAGCACATGAAACACAAAAAAGAACAAATGTATGAGGTCATTAAAATTGTTCCAGCAAATAGATTAATAATAAAAATATATGCACTATATTATATATAACAATATATTATAGTAACAATATACCATATATAATTAAAATATCTTAAAATAGAAGAAATATAATCTTATGCAATATATACCTGGATGGGGTCCTGATCGTTCCTTGTTCACTGCCAGATCTGTAAATATATTTCAAGATTTCTTTGTATTAAACCATCCATCAATCATGATATCTATATCAAATAATTATATATATTCACTGAAAGAAAAATATAATAAACATACCACTGATACTTTTTGGGGAAGACTCATGTAAGATGGTATTGAGTGCTACTTCTGTATCATAATCTGATGCAATAATATGCTCTCGTAGCTTAGATTCAGTCACAGAATCGCCTATAACATTTCTGATTGATTCCATGCAAGACATCAACTTTGCTTTTTCCAACTCAGAGAGACTACATTTCTCATCAGGTGACGCTGAAACCTCAATGTCCTCATTGTCTTCAACTATATCTGGTTCTGTGATGAATGAAGCAATGTTTTGTTGCTTGCTTCGATCAAAAAGAAACTGCTGTGCTGTACATCAAAATTGTAATTAGCATAGGATCATATCTTATTAAAATGGCAATCAAGAGATGCATGAAGCAATGTTAAAGAATTTACCACTAGGTGATACACAGTAATCATCCTCTACTGAATGCCCATAAACGTCATCATAACCATCGTACTCTGCACAAAACATATTTTCATAATTTTGTAAAATTTCAAGAGTTATATCATACAAAACTTAAAGGATATAAAACTTATAAATATTGCCAATCGTAAGCTTATAGCTAGCGCAATAACGAACTCACTGATTAAAAATAAAAGAAAGAATTAATGTAGAAATAATGTCTAAACGTTATAAATTTGATAACTGAAGAGATTTACATATTACGTATGAACAGAAGTCTCGCTTACCATCGGAATAGTTCATGCAACGGACGTCCCGATGTCGTGACATGTTTTGAGTGTAATTTTGTGTCTAGAAGAGAAGTAAAGCGAGAAAGCTTTTCTCGAGCGCAAATTATTTATAAACTTCCATGTCACACAGAGTATATACAACTGAATTACAAATTACGGACAGTCACAGCTGGAATCAACGATGGAATTGTTGACTAGGCATCGGCCGATGAATCGATATTGAATTTTTTCTTCTTAAAAGATCGATTGTCTCTTCTCGGTGTTTTCAAATTCGATTTTTCCTCATATCGATAATTGTTAAAATATTCACTTTATCCATCGTTGAATCGCATTCATAATTTTCAAGAACTGAAACGTAGACTTTATATAAAAACTTTTCTTCTCCGTGTGAAACTGATATGAAATTTATACCTTTGACTCACTTCTGCCATCTAACTAGAACCCAACTATATATATATCAAATCCATTTTGAGTCGAAATAAATTCGTAAAAAATCAGAAATAACGGGTCTAATACTGTAAACCCTGTACGTTAAAATAACAGGTCTTAAGACTCGTCTACAATAGCTGTAAAGGCTCGTCTACAATAGCTGTAAGAGTAAAGCCAGCGGCATACGGTGCTTGTTTTCGTGCTGGATTGCTCGCTGGATGAAAATATTGCGTTCTGATTGGTACATTTCCGAAGATGGGTGGAAATGCACCAATCAGAACGCAGTATTTTCATCTAGCAAGCAATCCAACACGAAAACAAGCACCGTGTGCCGCTAGCTTTAGGCTGTAACGTAAGCTGTCAGCCTGTCAGCGAATGAAAATATTTAGCGTGGTCTACAATGGCAGTAAGCAGTAAGAAGTAAGCGTAAGCGGTAAGAAATAAACCAATCACAGTCGATTGTGACAAAAATAATCAACTGTGGTTGGTCCATTTCTTACTGTTCACGCTTTCTTCTTAAGGCTCGTCTACATTAGCTGTAAGAGTAAGGCTGTAAGCAGAGAGAAGAATGAGAGCGGCCACCGGCCGTATTTCGGGGGATACGGCTAGGCGCATTTCAGATACGCCATCTGACCAAAATGCGCCTAAACTACGTCCGCTAGGCGCACTTTCGCGGTGATAAAAGTAAAATGCGCCTAGGTTCGTGTCCGTACTACTTCCATGCAATGGATAGTAGATTAGAAAAAGACAGACAATCGTTCCGTCTTTGTCTCACTACTGAGCGGCGCGCGGCAGTAAACACGAGGTAGCGGCGAATCTTATGCGCTAAGCGAACATCTCTCCGCTTTTCTTTCATCTTTCACGCTCCAGAGCATCAAAAGACGCGGTAGCGTCTCGTGTTAAGGGAACGTGCGAAGCGAGGAATTATTTTTCACGCACGCGAGGTAACACATGGGAGACTAGACGAGCGTCGACATATTATTTGTTTCTTTTCCGCTCGTCTAGCTTATTGACTGCGTGAGCCGCGAGATTTTTCTCGCTACTCCTATACCTCGCTCTTTCTCTCTCTCGCTCGTTCTTTCTCTCTCTCGCGCACTTGCTCGCTCTTCCTCTCTTCTCGTGTTCTTACGGCTTGATTAAATATATTAATTAGATGACAATATATATATAAATAAATGACACATATATAGTGTACATGTATATAAAGAATATTTAGTATTAATGCACAAATAAAGAAGAGAGAATTATAATGAGAGACGGAAAGTTAATAGAAATCCACTCTTAGCCAATATATACATCTTTTAAAAATGATTTGTTATTAAAGTATATGACAGAATAATTTATTTATGCTAATAAATTTAAATTAAAAATTAAATGAAATGTTATTTGTTTTGTAAAAGATATTCCATTGTTACATTTTTCTTTTCGTAGCAAAAATAAATTTAGTCTAGTAAAAAAAGAAATTAGTTTTATTATCATATTTCAATTACGACTTTATTATTTAATTTTACGAATAGACAACGTGCATATTGTTGCTCAACGGAAACCGCGAGAAAATGGTGATCTCCGTCAAAAAATAAATGCAAACTTTTTAATAATATAATAATTTTTTTACGTAAGTGTTTGTTTTTATAGTATAACCTGTTGAATTTTATTAATTATTAATTCAGCATGTTATAGTATAAAAAATATATTTTAATATAAAAATTAATGTAATATTAATTGTTTGCATTTGCAAGAAATATGGATAGAACAGGATAGGTTGCAATGATACATAGGAAGAAAAAAGATAGATGGATAAATAGATAGATAGATAGATAGATATAGAGATAGATATAGATGGATAAATAGATAGACAGATAGAAAGATAGATAGATAGATAGATAGATAGATATAGAGAAATGGATAGATAGATAGATAGATAGTATAGAAAAAACGATAAATAGAAATAGAAATCTTAAAGAAACAGGACATTAATCTAAAGAATAGAAACGATCAGAAATAACCGCTCGGTATTTCTAATATTAACGAATTATATTCCGGTTAAAATAATATAAATCGTATAATATATTCCGGTTAATATAATATAAGTCGTATAATATATTCCGGTTAATATAATATAAGTCGTGAAACTGAATCTAAGTAAGACTTACGTTTAAGCGAATGTTCTCTTGAAACTGAAAACATTAATAATAATAATAATTATTATATTTCTATTTCTATTTATCGTTTTTTCTATACTATCTATCTATCTATCTATCCATTTCTCTATATCTATCTATCTATCTATCTATCTATCTTTCTATCTGTCTATCTATTTATCCATCTATATCTATCTCTATATCTATCTATCTATCTATCTATTTATCCATCTATCTTTTTTCTTCCTATGTATCATTGCAACCTATCCTGTTCTATCCATATTTCTTGCAAATGCAAACAATTAATATTACATTAATTTTTATATTAAAATATATTTTTTATACTATAACATGCTGAATTAATAATTAATAAAATTCAACAGGTTATACTATAAAAACAAACACTTACGTAAAAAAATTATTATATTATTAAAAAGTTTGCATTTATTTTTTGACGGAGATCACCATTTTCTCGCGGTTTCCGTTGAGCAACAATATGCACGTTGTCTATTCGTAAAATTAAATAATAAAGTCGTAATTGAAATATGATAATAAAACTAATTTCTTTTTTTACTAGACTAAATTTATTTTTGCTACGAAAAGAAAAATGTAACAATGGAATATCTTTTACAAAACAAATAACATTTCATTTAATTTTTAATTTAAATTTATTAGCATAAATAAATTATTCTGTCATATACTTTAATAACAAATCATTTTTAAAAGATGTATATATTGGCTAAGAGTGGATTTCTATTAACTTTCCGTCTCTCATTATAATTCTCTCTTCTTTATTTGTGCATTAATACTAAATATTCTTTATATACATGTACACTATATATGTGTCATTTATTTATATATATATTGTCATCTAATTAATATATTTAATCAAGCCGTAAGAACACGAGAAGAGAGGAAGAGCGAGCAAGTGCGCGAGAGAGAGAAAGAACGAGCGAGAGAGAGAAAGAGCGAGGTATAGGAGTAGCGAGAAAAATCTCGCGGCTCACGCAGTCAATAAGCTAGACGAGCGGAAAAGAAACAAATAATATGTCGACGCTCGTCTAGTCTCCCATGTGTTACCTCGCGTGCGTGAAAAATAATTCCTCGCTTCGCACGTTCCCTTAACACGAGACGCTACCGCGTCTTTTGATGCTCTGGAGCGTGAAAGATGAAAGAAAAGCGGAGAGATGTTCGCTTAGCGATAAGATCGCCGCTACCTCGTGTTTACTGCCGCGCGCCGCTCAGTAGTGAGACAAAGACGGAACGATTGTCTGTCTTTTTCTAATCTACTATCCATTGCATGGAAGTAGTACGGACACGAACCTAGGCGCATTTTACTTTTATCACCGCGAAAGTGCGCCTAGCGGACGTAGTTTAGGCGCATTTTGGTCAGATGGCGTATCTGAAATGCGCCTAGCCGTATCCCCCGAAATACGGCCGGTGGCCGCTCTCATTCTTCTCTCTGCTTACAGCCTTACTCTTACAGCTAATGTAGACGAGCCTTAAGAAGAAAGCGTGAACAGTAAGAAATGGACCAACCACAGTTGATTATTTTTGTCACAATCGACTGTGATTGGTTTATTTCTTACCGCTTACGCTTACTTCTTACTGCTTACTGCCATTGTAGACCACGCTAAATATTTTCATTCGCTGACAGGCTGACAGCTTACGTTACAGCCTAAAGCTAGCGGCACACGGTGCTTGTTTTCGTGTTGGATTGCTTGCTAGATGAAAATACTGCGTTCTGATTGGTGCATTTCCACCCATCTTCGGAAATGTACCAATCAGAACGCAATATTTTCATCCAGCGAGCAATCCAGCACGAAAACAAGCACCGTATGCCGCTGGCTTTACTCTTACAGCTATTGTAGACGAGCCTTTATATTAGCCTTAAGGTCATTCTACAATGTGTGTCGTAAGTTGTAAGCCGTAAGAATTGACCAATTATGGGCGATTATTTTTATAATAATTGATTGTGATTCGTCAATTCTTACGGCTTACAACTTACGACACGTATTGTAGAATGACCTTTACAGCCATATTCTTACAGCTATTGTAGACGAGCCTTAAGGCTCGTCTAGGGCTGCGTTCCGATATTCACTGCTAGCACTGAAATTCTATGGTATACGTGACACAAACTATGTATTTTCAGTGCTGACAGTGAATTTCGGAACGCAGTCTACATAGATGGGCCTCTATGAACGTCTTTTGTAAAAAAAATGGACATATAATGGACGTCCAATGGACATCCGTGTACTGTCTGGGTAATTAAATCATATCTCTGTTTTTATCTAAGTTGAAGGAAAAACGAAGACAAACATATGATTTAACTATCAGTTAACTTACTAAGAAGTTGGAACAACTGGCCCTTATTAAAGTGAGCTTGTCTAAAGACCCATCTACATAAATGCAAAACGCAGACCAGGATGACGTCTCACACAGAGATTGGGTGATCCGTGATACTTTAATGTGTGGCATATCCTGTATGATATATAAAGACATAATGAGGATCCTGAGAACATGAACTTCCGACAATGTTAAAAAATTTTTCTTGATAATAATGTTAATATTTCGAATATCAAATCTTGAGCATTTCGCTCAAGTATCTGAAATTCGAAGTTAGCGCCAGTTTGATCAGAAAATGGATCACTGTAATTGGCTAGCTCGGCTATTCAATCGCTGAGCTATTCACAGCCACAATTGGTATTTGATTAGTATAGCGCGGGTTACAGGACGGTGTTGGATGCAAAAAGCTGTTGTCCGTGTTTCCTCGTGATTTTGACTCACCGGAGTTAGGTCTTGCGTCTCAAACATCGTTATTGGGAGTGTCGAAAGTAAATTTCGTGCGTATGTCACGGCAGAATGTTAAATAGTCGCGGGAAGTAAATATTCTGTGGAGTAAGAATCGTCAAAATGCCGAGTTAAGTCTCGCGCGTTCGCCTGTTATAATGGCAGATTGGATTTCGCGACATCGAGCTTCACGTTTCCAACTCACCGATCGAGTCTCGCATATAAATTATCATTAGTATCAAACTATGGCATAGCATCGTTCAATATTTGTTGGAAATGAATGTTATTCGTCGACAGTGTCGAGAAAAATTTCGGGAATTTTTTCTTACGTTCAGTTTCGAACGAAACGTTGTGATTGGTTTGTACGCCAATATACGTTTACCGAGCTACCGAAAGTAAATTTCGTATATTTGTACGGTGCAATCAAATATCGTCAAGTAGCTGTCAAAAGTTAATGTCAAGAAAATTAAACTGTTGGGAGTGCTGAGTGAAGTTTCACGTGTTTATCGCATAATAGTATTTCGGAGTTCAAATCGTTGCCTTTTCGATTTTCTGAAGGAGTGTTTCGCCTATGAAATATTATCGGGAGCGTTAAGATCGAGTTTTGTGCTTAGTTAAATTTTGTGATAAAGTTTTGTGATGTGAGAGTTTTGCGAATGCTGTGAAAGGGACCGTTATGTGAAGTTAAATTTTGTGGTTATTAAGTTGTATTGTGAAAAAATATTGCATTGAATAAGATGAAAGTAAAGCCTTTTGTTATCCCACACAGCACATGATATTATTCGTATATACTGTTTTCATACTAAATATACTATAGATATATCTAATATACTGAGAATATCCCTATAATATTTTTCGTAGTATATTATTTTTCGTATATTTTTGGAATATACGTAATTCATTAATAATATTCAATTTATTTATCGAATATTCTAGAAATATTCGAATATTATCAACAATATTTTAATCATTAATTGGACATATCCCTCCTACAATAAGCAATTAGTCATAAGCCGTAAGCAAATTGACCAACCACAGTCGATTATTTAAAAAATAATCAAATGTGATTGGTCAATTTGCTTACGGCTTTTGACTAATTGCTTTATATTGTAGAAGGTCTCTAAAGGTCATTCTACAATACGTGTCGTAAGTCGTAAGCCGTAAGAACTAACCAATTATAGCCGATTATTTTTGTAATAATCGACTGTGATTCGCCAATTTTTACGACTTACAACTTACGACACGTATTGTAGAATGATAACACAGGTATCCAAGAAACATTCAGAGTATGTCCTAAAGATGACCTCGGGATGTTTCTTCATCCTCAGGACGTCCCTGGGATGTTCTTAGGAGATCTTGTGCTGTCTGGAGCCACCCAATCAGAATCGGGCGGATTGGATGGCTTTTAATGCTTCTCTACTCCACTGTCCGCTGTCCGTGTCCATCTGAACGCACGTAGCCTCGTCGTATACGAAGATCTTAAGGTAAACGTACCAATGGCTGGACATTTAAGACGATATTTGTATTCTAATCTAATTTTCACCGATATGCGTCGATCGTTTTGGGGAATGACGGTAATCAATCTCAAGGTTAGAGTCTCTAGTTTTCGAAACCCATCCATTAAATTCTTTTGCGATAGTTTGAAACATATTTATTAACAAAAACGTTGGGAGAAAAAAATGTACCAGTTACTGGACAGCTATTTATCGGTGTGTCCCGATGTCCGGACATCAGATGTACGTATGGCTAGACGCCGATGAATAGTAATAACATCTGCATGAAAAGAGCTATTACACTTACGTATGTGCTAGTTTTTATACTTTATACTTTTTTATACTCATATTATTTTATTAAACGAGTGATAATGATAATATATCGACTGCTAAGAGTCAGAAAGGTGTATTCCGTAACATTTAATGCGAGGGTTGCGTCTTTTTTATTCTTACCAGCCGATATGATGAAAAACATACATATATATATTAATAATAAAATAATAAAAGATATAATGCGAAGTTCTTATCGAATATTTAATGAGTAATATGATAAACAACGTATATATATTCGTAATAAAATAATGAAAGTTCTCACACGAAGTTCTTAATGAATATTTAATGAATAATAATAGCTCATTGTTCTGTTACTCGTTGCTTCTTTTGTTTTGCTCCGGTCTTTTTCTGGCATTGCCTGTTTTCAGCTAGCTCTCTCTTTATTGCGTCTATCTGCAACTGTTTTTGGGCCAGTATTCTTTTATTTTCTTCTTGGAGCTGTTTTCTTTTTTCCTGCTGAATCTTTTTTCTGCTCGTGCCTCCAGTCTTCTTCTCAGCCTTTGTTCTTTCTTCTGCAACTCGGCCTGTTCTTTTTCCTGCTTCGATTGATGGTACGTCTGCCACTCGTCGGATGTAGCGACGCTCGGGACTGTCTCAGTTCTTTTCGGTAGCGGTTTCTTTCTTTTGACCTCTTCGGGTCAAAACAAAGCTTTCGCGAATGGTCCTGGAATGTTCTTCGGTGCTCGACATTCGACGATACCCCTATCTATGTAAATAATTTCTGCACGTAACTGATATGTATTAACACAAATATTAGCATTAATAAGACCGTTTCTAATACAAACCTTCGCGATCATTATTTTCTGCGACATTACGAGGTTCCTCCACAGTCATCGACAGTCCGTTGATTGTTGGTATACCAACGCTCTCATTGAGGCTCTCTACTTCCGGGTGTACTTGTACGAGAGTTCCATTCTCGTCCACGTCGAAAATAATGGAATTTCCTTGCTGAAGAGTAGCATCAATGTCTTCTACGTCAGTACGGAGCTCGATGTTCGCCGATGATTCCTCAATATTGCAGCTTTGCTCAATCGTGACCGGCATGCAGCTTTCGTCAACAAAATCTCCTCCGACGGCTTCCGTTGTTTTCGTAGTATCTTCATTATTAGCTACTTAATGAAAAAACCCATATACTTATAGATAAAAGTAGTAAAAGAACCATGTTTGCGAAACCACAGTAAACAACCCTAAGCTCATAATGTTGTAAACGTTAACTATTTATACTCCTTATACCGGCGAGTTCTTTCAACTGAAGCCAAAACTGAAAAAGTCCTTCATTTTTTATCTCTCCAGTCCAAACTCCCGCACGTCTCGATTCTTGAAAGGTCTTCACTAAATTCGCCGACAAACGCTGCTCGAAGAATTGTAGTTGTTTCTTATTTTCGCCTATACCTACGCTGGAAACCTCGTTTTCGGATATGTCGCTGAGCGCGGTATTTTCCGAGGCCCGTCCTTTTTTGAGGATATTAAAATTCACTGCATCCGCTGAGAACGGAGATAAACCGCACGTTTCGAACCCTTTTGTAATAGTTTGCGTGAGGTTTATCGAGTCGAAAATTTCCTGCAGCAGAGGTGCGAACATTTCTTTTTTCAGTCGCGCTCCGTTATTCTCTAGTCGCCAGTGGTTCACTGTTTTCTTCCACGCTCTTTTTAGTGGATGAAAAACGGCAACGTCCAGGGGTTGCAGAATGTGTGTGGCATTCGGGAATAGAGCAATCAACTCTATTTTATGTTCGCGACAGAAGTTACTAAGAGGCAAAGTTAAATGTGATGAATGACCATCGACGAAGAGTACGATCGAAAACTCGACGTTATTCTTCTGAAGCCACGAGTAGAAGACGTTGGCTATGTATTCATAAAATGTTTCCGCCGTCATCCATCCTCGATCAGACGTGTCGATGCTCCAACCTGATGGTACATTTTGTGATACACTGGCAGGTATTCTTTGATACCAATACATTACTATGGGCGGTACCATCGTGCCAGTAGCATTAACCATAAAAAGTGTCGTGAGACATTCTTTTTCGTCTGCATCAACTACTTTATATACTCCTTTCGCTCCTCTTCGTACAATTACGCGATCTGCTTTAGGGCACAACATAAACGCAGTTTCGTCGCAGTTGAATATTCTCTTCGGGTCGGTATTTAACAAATTCGTTGCGGTTAGATACTCAGAAACTTCGTTGAACCAATTTTTTAATTTCTGTTCGGTAGCTGATGCTCGATATACGTCAAATTCTGAGCCACTCGCTCAGAAAGCTCGGGATGTCTTCGACAGAATCCTTCGTACCAGTGTCGGCCCGGCCGGTTATTGGTGAATGGGTTGTCTCGTTTCAGCTCCCATATTAATATTTTGACAGAGTCAAGAAGTTGATCCTTCGTTACGGGAAACTCTTTGTCAGAGGAATAGAATATCCACTTGACGAGTAAATCTTCTTCGTCTGGAGTCAAAATAGAAGCTGGACCCAGTGTGGCATTCATAGGATGGATATTTTTTACTTTGCTGTAGACTGTACTCTTCGGAACGCCAAAAGTTTTGCTCGCTGTCCTCAATGACATTCCTAATCGTACTGCATCCACAGCCTTTTCGACGTCAGATTGAGAATATGACGTTGATGCCACCTTCGACATGTTTTTCACGACAATAACTAAAAATAAAATTTGGGAAAATGAGGTGAAGTTTTACCAGCGAAAGGTGACTTGATGCATGCATTTTTTCAAGAATTTTTTTTTTCATCAATCTAGAGGCATTGAAAACTTCATTAAGTCCTTATAAAATGTTTGCTGTTATTTTTTCATCATAACAATTATATACATGAATTTCATGTTGCGATAAATATATGAGAAATAGCGACGAAAGTGTCAACATAACTTCTTTCGAAAGGTGAATGAACGAATTTGCAAATACTATACTATCCGCGCAGTGATTTTATAGTTTCGAATAATTGAAAGATACAGTATGTGTACTTACCGATAACTGTTTATACGTATAACACGGATGTAGATACTTTGTCTTATTAATTTGATGCTACGTAAACTCACACCGGCGTCAACGAAGCAATGTTGTGGTCATGTCCCGGCTTTGGGTCTCAACGACTTCGCATATACGCCCCAGTGCCTGGACACTACGTTGGACACTGGTACAAGCGCACAATCGGTCGGTCCCAATGCCGGAACACGAAAATTATGTGTTGTAAATATTATCAGATAAATTTTAACGGTCATTTCTGAAACGTTACGATTTTCTGTACATGAAAATCACATAAAAAATCGCGGAATCGGCAAAATAACGACCGTACAATGTTAAAGAGTATTCGCCATTCCTTAGCTCATCGGCTTAGAGATGTGCTTCAATGGCTGAAGCGACACGACCCTGCTGATATCTTTGATATACTAAACTACAATTTTATAGTAAAGCATATAAAATTGTTTCCCGTATATTAATAACACACTATAGATCCCATTTCAATAGTTACATATTAATTGTTATCCACTCTTAGTATCGTCAAATGTTAGCCGGAGTGTCCAGTAATTGGGTCTTGTCCAGCCATTGGTACGTTTACCTTATATAAGGTAATAATTATATAATTATTTTATTTATAAAATAACATTAACTATTATGCATTAATAAATTTGTACCTCAATAGATATTTTGTTAGATAGGCCAATTCGTTGTATAAAATTTTATATTTTTTTCAACCTGTCTTTCAAGGTTATGTGGCACAAAAATAATTAACTTCAGGTTGTTACACTATTTTTCCTATTTTCTTGATAGTTATAAGTTATTCAGACTGCATCTCAATTTTCCTCCTTAATCCATATAATAATTATTGGAAAATGTGTCAAAAATTTCAAAACAACCAGCGAAGCATATTAAAGAAACAAAACAAGGTACACAAAAAAGTTATAATCTGATGATATATAATAAAACATCCATGATCAGATGATATGTAATAAACAAATCTTTTGTTATTTTTAGTATCCCAACAAAATGATTTGTCACAAGATTTGTTTCACAAGCAAACGAAGCATAATATGCAAACGGAGAATTATGTAATTAATAAAAATTACGAAAATTTACTGAGCACAAGCAAGCAACAAACTAGTGATCTAGACAATGGTAATTGTCAAGGTATGTTAGTAACTTTTATATATTTTTTATTTGATTTGGAACATGTGATTCATTTTTATCTGAGAATGCTTTTGTGGAAATGTTTCCGACTGCAGAAGTAAGCAAGTATAAATCGAAGCATTATTATTACATATTAATAAAACATTCATGATCAGATAATATGTAATAAACAATTCTTTTGTTATTTTTAGTATTGCAACAAGATGATTTTCCACAAGATTTGTTTCACAAGCAACCGAAGCATAACATGCAAACGGAGCATTATGTAATTAATAAAAATTACAAAAATTTACCGAGCACAAGCAAACAACAAACTAGTGATCTGGACATTGGTAATTGTCAAGGTATGTTAGTAACTTTTATATATTTTTTATTTGATTTGGAACATGTGATTCATTTTCATCTGAGAATGCTTTTGTGAAAATGTTTCCGACTGCAAAAGTAAGCAAGTATAAATAGAAGCATTATTATTACGTATTAATAAAACATCCATGATCAGATAATATGTAATGAACAAATCTTTTGTTATTTTTAGTATTGCAAAAAGATGATTTTCCACAAGATTTGTTTCACAAGCAACCGAAGCATAACATGCAAACGGAGCATTATGTAATTAATAAAAATTACGAAAATGTACCGAGCACAAGCAAGCAACAAACTAGTGATCTGGACATTAGTAATTGTCAAGGTATATTAGTAACTTTTATATATTTTTTATTTAATTTGGTATATGTGATTCATTTTTATTTGAGAATGCTTTTGTGGAAATGTTTTCGACTATAGAAGTAAGCAAGCACAAATAGAAGTATTATTATTATATATTAAATTATAATTTTACATTGTCTCGACAGTTTATTGTTATCTCTTCTTTATTCAAATTTATTGATTTTGCGGCTTATCAATATATTTATATAAGAGTGTAATATTTTTCACAGGAACAGAAAATTTTCACCGATTTGTTGTTGAAACATTAATATCTCTAAAAATGAAAGTCAATGCAGTAGACAGAAATGTAAAACTTCTTGTGCATAAACGGTCAGTTCCTACTATTGACACAGAAGAAGGGGAAGATGACATTTTTCAGAATTTACCAGTTAAAAGTGACAATGAACTTGAAGTAATAGAAACAAAGTTAAAGAATGACTCAACTTATAGAAAAAATATGGTATTTTATATCTGTTTATTATTCAATATAGCTGTTAAGTAACGTAATAAAAATCACAAAAATATAGATTAAAACCTAAGTTGTATTTTAACACTTTAATTATATAACTATTCGTTATCATAATAACAAGAAAATATTCGGAACATTTTACATATTTTTTTGATTCGATTGGAAGAGAAACTGTTGTTTAATAGACATATCTTTTTATTTTAACGTATGCTGTAATAATTTTTGTCGTGCAATTTTTCACTTTTGACATAATTAAATAAAGATAGTCTCAGAGAGGATCCATAGAGTCATAATATATATAAATTAATAAATGTCATTAGACGAAATATTGAACTAATATTAACTCTGTACTTACATTTCAGATTAAACAATTGGTTCGAGTTGTATGCGAGGATTTAAAAATCATCATGTATAAGATTAATGAGACAAATCTTCAGCAATGAATTAGCCATGGAATACAGCTGGTATGGAGCGAAAAAAAAAATATCTTCAGCAACTTACAATTGTGTAAAGTAATTATATGTAAGTAAAATATACAATCAGAATATATATACAGAATTGTAAATCTTAGTTTTTAATTAATAGCATAATTGGTAATTATTTAGAAGAGGCACGCCGCCTCTGATTTTGCTAAAACTCTCATTTGATTCATTTTCACGTGTAGAAGCTGAATCTGAATTAAAAATCATTGCTCGGCTGTACAAAGCGAGAAAAATATTAAGATAGAAGAAGTTTAAGATAGAATATGATAGATTAAGAAACTTGTCATTGCAAGGTAAAGTCTGTTCATTACACTTATTGTATTAGTGTAGTGCAATATAACAATTACATGAAAATACTTAAATTAAGAATATTTATATAAATAATTTTGTCACATGTCACCTTGCATAGGGGCCTTTGCTAATCTTTTCAGAATTTGTTATTTTAATGTATGATAGACTCATTGATTTAGTAAGACGAAGATTTAAAGATATATTCTTTTATAATCATTGTACATAAAATAGGAGTTATTTTGTGTACAATTTAAAATAAGACCTATCTTATGTACAATAATTGCAAAAGAATATATTTTTAAATCTTTGCCTTACTAAAGTGATGAGTCTACCTTATATTAAAATGACAGATTCTGAAAAGATTAGCAAAGGCTCCTATGCAAAGGAGAATGTATCATGAATCAAAAGTGGAAAAATCATAGCATATGTTATTTTATTACGTAACAAGAGGAACAAGATCAGTCCTATATAATGAGATAGCATATATTTACATTCTTCTGCTTCTGATTAATGACACACTCTCCCTTGTGTAGGGGCCTTTGCTAACCTTTTTAGAATCTGCCATTTTAGTACATACAGGGTGCACGATTTATCTGAAGACATTGAAATATCTCGAAAACTATGCATTGGATAAAAAAAAGTGGTTAATGAAAGTTGTTAGTCTCAAAGGGGGACATCCAATGATACCAAACTCGACCTCCCACGCCACCCCCTGGGGGTGGGGGTTGGGGGCAACTTTGAAATCTTAAATAGAAACCCCCATTTTTTATTGCAGATACGGATTCTACGCCACAAAATACGTAAATTTTGTCCGAAACTTTTTTCTTGATTCGTGATAGATGGCGCTATAATCGCAAAAAATTATATTTTCCGCAATTCTCCAGAAATGATCATTGGATTGAGAAATAAAAAATACCTGTTCAATATTTTTAAAGAACATAATAAAAGTTATTCCCCCCTCCATCCTCTCGGGGTAGGGTGGGTGATAACGTTCAAATCTCAAATGGGGACCCACATTTTTCATTGCAGAATTAGATTGTACGTAAAATTTTTATTGAAACAATTTTTTTCATTCATGATAGCGTTGAATTTTTCCGAGAAACTACTTTTAGCGTTACACAGGAACGACGAGGACGTAGTAGTTTCATGTTCCCTTCGGGTGCTTTTTTAATGTGAGTCCCCTTGCCTCTCACAGATCGGGGTGCTTTTTTAATGTGAGTCCCCTTGCCTCTCACTGTTCAATTAATTAGAGTAAGTGTTCGAAATTTTTACCTTCAACTTCAATACACTTATTGATCCTTTTTTCAAATGACTGTACACAGGATAGAAACATATCTGCGGGAGTTTCAGCGTAAGCGTTTCTTATGCGTTCTACCATGTTTTCACGAGTTGTTGGCACTTGTTGATAAACCTTATCTTTTAGGTAACCCCACAGAAAGAAATCCGGCGATGTCAAATCAGGCGACCTAGCAGGCCAATTAATCGGGCCACCTCTGCCAATCCATCTTTGCCTTTTATAATAAGTCGTAGTTCACCATACACCCATAGTGGCGCGTCGAGCAGTTCCCTCTTCGATTCGGGTTCCCATTTGATTTTTGAACGTTATCACCCACCCTACCCCGAGAGGATGGGGGGGGGAATAACTTTTATTATGTTCTTTAAAAATATTGAACAGGTATTTTTTATTTCTCAATCCAATGATTATTTCTGGAGAATTGCAGAAAATATAATTTTTTGCGATTACAGCGCCATCTATCACGAATCAAAAAAAAAGTTTCGGACAAAATTTACGTATTTTGTGGCGTAGAATCCGTATCTGCAATAAAAAATTGGGGTTTCCATTTAAAATTTCAAAGTTGCCCCCAACCCCTAGGGGGTAGGGTAGGAGGTCGAGTTTGGTATCATTGGATGTCCCCCTTCGAGACTAACAACTTTCATTAACCACTTTTTTTTATCCAATGTATAGTTCTCGAGATATTTCAATGTCTTCAGATAAATCGTGCACCCTGTATAAGGCAAAGATTTAAAGATATATTCTTTTATAATTATTGTACACAAAATAGGAGATATTTTTTGTACAATTCAAAATAAGTTCTATCTTATGTACAATAATTATAAAAGTTTAGTTGTATACTGCGCTACACTAATACAGTAAGTACAACGAAGAAACTTTACCTTGCAATGACAGGTTTCCTAACCTATCATACCTCTATCTTTAACAATTTTTTTCTTGCTTTATAGAGTTGAATAACTATTTTTACTTTTGGATCCGGTTTCTACGAGTCAAAATATATATGATACGTGAGTTTTAGCAAAATCGGAAGCGGTATGCCTTTTCTAAATAATTACCAAATGTTTAAACAAATATTTAAGTAATCTCTTTATTTATATATTTACATTAACATAAAATTTTTCAACTTTCTTTTAAACAACTTAAATGAGAACAGATATTTATTTAAAGAAAACACACACTCTCTCTCTCTCTCTCTCTCTCTCTCTCTCTCTCTCTCTCTCTCTCTAATTACACTGATTTTTAAATATTATATTCCAGGTGTGATAAGAAAGTCGCATACAACTGCAACAGATGAACAAATTTCTGCTCCCATCAAGATCTGGCTGGCTCATGTAAAGGAACGTGCAAAAAAACAAAAAATAATTGAGTTATTTTAGATTTTACATATATATATATCATTTATGAAGATATATATATATATTATAATTTATAAAGTTTATAGTTTATAAAGGCAGTATAAGTTGTTAAGAGTTCATTTATATGTTAAACTAATTTAAAAAATATATATAACATATATATAACCAATTTGTCATTTTTATTATACGCAAAAAAACCTGCAGAATATTTATATATTATATAAATATTCTACAAATATACTAACAATAAACTAGGAAATATTTCTAATCGATACTAGTAATATTATTAAAATATTATTTAGATATACCTACAATATAATATGAAATATTCTCAGTATATACTGAGTAGACTGCGGAAGCGGACATAGGAACATTCTCAGTATATTCTCAAAATATTACAGTACGTATTTCGGATATTCATGGAATAATCGCAATTTACGATTGCGATATACTGAGAATCTGCTTAGAATCTACCTGTGCTGTATGGGATAAAACAAACGCAAAGAAGCAATATATTAAAAAATAAATTGTGCGTCCTTTAAAATAAACCAATGGATTTATTGATTTTCGCGAACATATTAAGTGTCCAAGGATATATTTTGTAAAGAGAAGTATCAAAAACATCAGGAACCGTTTGAGGTCAGGATATTATGAAAGAGTAAGTTTATTTTACGTTCGTCGTATTATAAAAATTCGGAATTGTTCGTATCGCGATACCACATTCTTTTGTCTTGTGGTTTACGCAGTTTATTATTACTTCGAACCTAGCTTATTGCAAATAGTTAATTAATTTATATCTGATGATCCATTATTTTCGTATCGATTAATCTTGATCTATCGCTTTCAATTTCGCAATAAATGGGAGTCGCACGTTGTCATGGTTTTTGAAGAGTTTAATTATTTTAAATCTAGATTAAAATTTGTATAGGAATCTCAGTCATTGTGACTCTAAATTTAAACTATCTCATTATATATTGTTATCTCATACTTACAAGTAAAGGTGCCCAACTGTTACTCACCGATTGTGATGAAACTTTGCCCACTTATAGTGCTATGGAAAATAATCGACATGTATTTTTTTTATCTGCGGAGAAGCAGTTTTAAGGGTGGAAACTACCCCTTATTTATATAGAGTGTTTTCGCGTTAGAAGTGCTATCTTGTTTATTCGAAAGGCTGAAAGGTTTCATGGGATTTTTGGGGTCGTTAAATTCGAATCTGACGTGAAATTCAAAATTACAAAATGGTGGATCAAATATGGCGTCTATGTCTCGTGAGTGGGACCATTTTTTCCATATAAATTAAAATGATGACGAAAATTACGATTTTTTTACATATATAGGGGAAATCATATTGTTTTCACTATTTTTAGTATTACTGTTTGTCATTTGTTTTTATGCGTGCATATAAAATGTCTTCAGGCAACTTATATGGAATTTGCTGTTATTTCACCTAACATTAAATGAATCTATTGAAAATAAATGTTCCATATATTTCAGTATTTCATTATTCATTGAGCGACCTCGAAAACCTAAAAAAATCGTGATTTTCGTCATCATTTTATTTTACATGGAAAAAATGGTCTCACTCACGAGACATAGACGCCATATTTGATCCACCATTTTGTAATTTTGAATTTCACGTCAGATTCGAATTTAACGACCCCAAAAATCCCATGAAACCTTTCAGCCTTTCGAATAAACAACAAGATAGCACTTCTAACGCGAAAACACTCTATATAAATAAGGGGTAATTTCCACCCTTAAAACTGCTTCTCCAGAGATAAAAAAGATACGTGTCGATTATTTTCCATAGCACTATAAGTGGGCAAAGTTTCATCACAATCGGTGAGTGACAGTTGGGCACCTTTACTTGTTAGTTATTTATTAGTTAGTTATTTGCGTCAACCATGAAAGATGAAGGAATATTTTTAATATTCCTTAGCAATATACACTAAAAAATACCTCGAATAATTATTTTTTTCTGATTGCATGTAAATGCATTCATTATTTACAATTGTATTTAATTGTTTACAAATACTTATTAAACCATTTTTTATCAAATGGTGATATCCATTTGTGACAACCAATCATATTGTTTTGTACCATATATTTCCAAGTCCATAAATGTTGATTGTTGTTTCCTAACCACTGTTCTTTGACTGCTCTCCTGTCCAACATTTGTTGACTGACAGCCATAGCTTTGAATGGAAGTATGGATGCTATTCGCTCTAACATTCTCTTTACCTAAAGAAAAAATAAGTTTTATACAATAATATATTCTTGCTTACTCATAATCCAACAATTATTGTGAAGATCAGACAATATATAATAGTCTTATTTTTATTCTTTTATGTTATTGACATACCTCGAAATATTCACAATCACCGCCAACTTCTATAATGACGCGGCCTGCTTTAACTGGAGTAGCATAGTGATGGATAGCACCCTTACCACCACCCATTCGATGTCCTTGCCCCTGAATGATAAAGCATAATGTCAAACATTATTTTATTATTTTATTTACTTTCATACACTGTAAAACTTATATTTAGCAAACCTTCTTCGAAATTGGCTGCCATGGTGCATCTACTCGCCAAATTCCAAACATTTTACTTTGGTCAATATTTCTGAGCAACTTCATACGTATCATCTCAAAGTGATTATGTTTTAACCTGCCTCCTCTAATAGCCTATGGTATGAAAAAGGGGAAAAAATTTTTTATATGTACATACATATATATATATATATATACTTGTTACTCAATACAACTTTTAAGGTTGACTTACTATGATACCATACTGTCTATATAAGAGAAAATTATGCACGTTCTCTGGTCCTCTCATATATCTCAAACGCTTTTGCATTTTAGGAGGACGTATTCCTGATGGAAATTGAGGAATTTGCTCCATTATTTTCAGCCTTCGCCGTTCAGGATATTCAATCTCTAAAAATAAAAATTTTATATTAAAAAGAACTCTAGTTTCCATTCATTATAAATCAATAAATGATCATACCACTAAATTCGTTAGGAGGAGGAAAAACCTTTAAACTGGCTGTTTGTGTAACTGATATGGATTTCAATGCTGTAAAAATTATGTAAAACTTAAATTGAACGATATATGGCAATTGATTCTGAAATAGATTATAATTTTAATATAATTTCACTTCAAAAATATATTATTTTTGGAAACTTACTTGAAAGCAACATCTGTCCAACATTTCTGCATGCTTGCAACATTTTTAGTTTCAAGAGATACAAATTCAGAATCTTCTAAATGCTGAATAAATCTAAGAAAAGTAATAAACTATGCGTCTTAATTATTCTAACTGCTTAGAAATAACTGCGACAAAATTCACAGTTGAATAAACACTGATCAATATTTCTGATTCTGATTCTGATTCAATAAATGGCTCTGGGCAGAATTGTTAACAATTGTTAAGCCCTTTGCACAATGCCAGGCAACAGGCAATAAGAATAAAAATAGACCAATCACAATAGATTATTCTTGTAATAGTCGATTGTAATTGGTCTATCTTTATTCTTATTGCTTGTTGCCTGGCATTATGCAAGGGGCCTTACATTCTATCCCCTATGCCAGTCAACGATTATGAAGATAAAAGAAAAACAGGGACAACACGTACGCAGTCCCCATGATCAAAAAATATGCATGTAGCAGAGAGAAGCCTAAGAGCGGGCATGGCTGCATTTACAGCTTTATCGAAAAGTTGACTGATTCGAAGCGCCAACTGGGCCCATTTTTCATGGACATGAACTACTAAACCAATGTCCACGATTTGTTGGTACTATTCCGTGCTATGTCCATAATTATTTGGTTCTGTTCTGTGCTATGTTCACGAACGAGCTAGATTAGTTAAGGCAGGATACCACCTTTGACTGCGATTTTGCAGGCGTTTCTCATGAATTTTTTTTTGCATACAAAGAGTGCGCAGAAACAAAATCGGTTTTAGTCATTCATTAATGTAACTTTAATCTGTAATTATACATTTTTTGAAACTGAAAAAGTCAAAAATAATCTCTTGTAGATGGCGCCAAAATACATTCCTTTGGAGGAACACTGTTAGACGGCGTGTCAAATTCCGCTCTGTACGTGGCTCCTAGAAAAAAGACCAAAGAATGTTCCAATTAACAATATTTTTTAATGTTGTACATAGAGATTTTACGAAATTTCGATTTTTAAGAAAATGGCGGTCATTTTAACAAAAAGGTCAATTTTTAGGGTAAAAAAGTTTATAAAATTGTGCACCAAAAAAAAAATAACAACGCTACAGCAAAAGTCCTACGTACATCGTCAGATTATACCACGGGGAAGAATTGTGCAAAGTTTCAAGTCAATCCGCTGAAAATTGTAAGAGTAATCTGACACGCCGATTTGAAAAACATCGTTTCAAGAAAAACGCGTTTAAAGTTTTATATAGATATAACTAGTAAATATTTTCAACTAACCGTCAATCTGCAATGCCTGCGCCATGCAATACTCCTTCAGCATCTATATCCTCTTCATTGGTAAGCTTGCGAGCAGAAATACCACTTCTTCTAGCCTCTCGAACAGCTTCAGTCATCGAACCTTCCGCTCTCTGAATGCGATAATTATCGGCTTGTACACAAAAAGTATAGCAACTTTGACTTATAGGCAGGTTCAAAGTTTGCATAATGTTCATAATGCTGTGTAACCTATCGTTAAAATTACATACTGCAATATCAGCAGCAATGTCAACGATTTTTTTGCCACTGGACATAGGTTTAGGAGCGAGAGCCCACAGAACAGAATTGAAGCACTCGTTGCTGTTCTGCGTAAACCCGCCCAAGCACCGAGATAATAGTTCATCGCGGCACAATTCTTCATAAATGGGTTTAACAGCATTGAAAACTTCATCTTTCATTGTTGGTTTGTGTTGATAATTGTCAAGTTCGTTGCGAGCTTTAGCCTGTTTCCATGAGCACCAGGAATTTTCGCCATCTGGACATCTATCGTACTGCGGGTTGTCATCCGTAGAAATCTTATGATAAAGCGTGGCCCATATTTCTTTCTTCATGTTTACAATTGAATCATGATTCCTGCGTATTGCTAGACCAAAACATAGTGATAGATCGTCAATTAATTTTCCAGTTAGCTTGACTCTGCCACCAATACCTCGTACATTTTTTTTAAATTCCGAAGTCGCGTTCCCATCCTTTTTTGAACGTGGTCGATACATTCTTTTTTCTTAACGTCCAAATTTTCATGTGGTTTCGAGTCTAAAATACCTTTATATGTTTTACTGTCTCCATCCCCTATGTAGTGACTATATTTCAAACTATGGAGTTCGTCTGATCGTTGAAACATTTCAATAATTGCGTCAACCTCCATTTTTCCAGCCAATCCCTCGTGATTTTTTTGACAGCTATCTTCGTGTGTCGCAGTCCATTCTTCGTATTCTGCCGTTCCTTCTTTTCCTTTCCAGTAATTGCATTGATTACATATTTTCGACTTTACATTAACATCAATGACTTTCCCGGTGCACCATCCTATCAATGACGTAACGCCTAATAAAGACGAGAATCCCCTCTTCTTCCACATGCCGTCGCCTGAAACTACTATTCCTTCTGTAAGTCCCTTCTGTACTGACAATTCTTTCTCTTTAGCAGCTGCGTTCTTCATTGATTTCTCTCGTACGGCTGCGGTAGCAATAGAAATAGTCGAAACGATTTTGTCATAAAATGACTGGAATACTGGATGTAGTAGACACATGAATGAACAGAATTTTTTAATTCCATTTACACCAACACCGAGCAATCGCATAACAAAAACTATACGACGATTTATATCATATGCATGATTATTTATGACGGGACACGACTTTATATATTTCGGTGAGCATTGTTCACAAAGAACTGCAATTTTGAAACCCAATCCTCGAATACTTGCTTCTTGAAACTTTACGGGAGATTTACACACTTTGCACACTAGAAATTCAGACATTGCTGCAAAAACAGTCACAAAATCGATGAAACGATAACCAGTAGTTGCGTCCACATTGATATGATATTCATCTTCACTCTGTTTCAGTTTCTTTGCCGATGTACTGACACTCTCACTTTCTCCTTCTAACACGTATCGATTCTGCGGCTTCTTTTTGCTGTTTCTCGGTTTCGAGGCACGCCTATTTTTTGCTTTTATCCCTTTTCTCTCCTCTACTTTTGTCTTCCCCATGATGAACAATGCATAAACATTCGAAAGAAACACGTGAAAGACGTTACACAACCAAGCAACACGTGAATGATGTTTACACGACCAATTCGTTATGAACTATATAAAATATAGAAGTATCTATGTTATATTATAGTGAAAATCCTAACTAGCGACATCTACTACTATCACTATTTCACTATTTGGAACTAAAAGGGCCCGTAATGTGGTCGGTAAATTGTATATGCGACAGACAGTGTGCGCGCCCTCGGCAGCCCGAGAAACGCGCCGAGAGCGCTCTGCTCTAAACCAGTTTTTACACAAGAAAAAGGTTTCGGCCACCTTTCTAATGAATGAATTTCGATTCTATACACTTGAAAGAGTACTTTAAGAACAAAAAAAATTTTCAATTTTTTTAAAGTGCAAAGGTGGTATCCTGCCTTAATCCAACGGCACACGGTGCTTGTTTTCGTGCTGGATTGCTTCCTGGATGAAAATACTGCATTCTGATTGGTACATTTCCGAAGATGGATGGAAATGCACCAATCAGAACGCAGTATTTTCATCCAGCAAGCAATTCAGCACGAAAACAAGCACCATGTGCCGCTGGCTTTACAGCCTAAAGCCAACGGCGCACGGTGTTCTGATTGGTGCATTTCCATCCATCTTCGGAAATGTACCAATCAGAATGCAGTATTTTCATCCAGGAAGCAATCCAGCACGAAAACAAGCACCGTGTGCCGCTGGATTAAGGCAGGATACCACCTTTGCACTTTAAAAAAATTGAAAATTTTTTTTGTTCTTAAAGTACTCTTTCAAGTGTATAGAATCGAAATTCATTCATTAGAAAGGTGGCCGAAACCTTTTTCTTGTGTAAAAACTGGTTTAGAGCAGAGCGCTCTCGGCGCGTTTCTCGGGCTGCCGAGGGCGCGCACACTGTCTGTCGCATATACAATTTACCGACCACATTACGGGCCCTTTTAGTTCCAAATAGTGAAATAGTGATAGTAGTAGATGTCGCTAGTTAGGATTTTCACTATAATATAACATAGATACTTCTATATTTTATATAGTTTATAACGAATTGGTCGTGTAAACATCATTCACGTGTTGCTTGGTTGTGTAACGTCTTTCACGTGTTTCTTTCGAATGTTTATGCATTGTTCATCATGGGGAAGACAAAAGTAGAGGAGAGAAAAGGGATAAAAGCAAAAAATAGGCGTGCCTCGAAACCGAGAAACAGCAAAAAGAAGCCGCAGAATCGATACGTGTTAGAAGGAGAAAGTGAGAGTGTCAGTACATCGGCAAAGAAACTGAAACAGAGTGAAGATGAATATCATATCAATGTGGACGCAACTACTGGTTATCGTTTCATCGATTTTGTGACTGTTTTTGCAGCAATGTCTGAATTTCTAGTGTGCAAAGTGTGTAAATCTCCCGTAAAGTTTCAAGAAGCAAGTATTCGAGGATTGGGTTTCAAAATTGCAGTTCTTTGTGAACAATGCTCACCGAAATATATAAAGTCGTGTCCCGTCATAAATAATCATGCATATGATATAAATCGTCGTATAGTTTTTGTTATGCGATTGCTCGGTGTTGGTGTAAATGGAATTAAAAAATTCTGTTCATTCATGTGTCTACTACATCCAGTATTCCAGTTATTTTATGACAAAATCGTTTCGACTATTTCTATTGCTACCGCAGCCGTACGAGAGAAATCAATGAAGAACGCAGCTGCTAAAGAGAAAGAATTGTCAGTACAGAAGGGACTTACAGAAGGAATAGTAGTTTCAGGCGACGGCATGTGGAAGAAGAGGGGATTCTCGTCTTTATTAGGCGTTACGTCATTGATAGGATGGTGCACCGGGAAAGTCATTGATGTTAATGTAAAGTCGAAAATATGTAATCAATGCAATTACTGGAAAGGAAAAGAAGGAACGGCAGAATACGAAGAATGGACTGCGACACACGAAGATAGCTGTCAAAAAAATCACGAGGGATTGGCTGGAAAAATGGAGGTTGACGCAATTATTGAAATGTTTCAACGATCAGACGAACTCCATAGTTTGAAATATAGTCACTACATAGGGGATGGAGACAGTAAAACATATAAAGGTATTTTAGACTCGAAACCACATGAAAATTTGGACGTTAAGAAAAAAGAATGTATCGACCACGTTCAAAAAAGGATGGGAACGCGACTTCGGAATTTAAAAAAAATGTACGAGGTATTGGTGGCAGAGTCAAGCTAACTGGAAAATTAATTGACGATCTATCACTATGTTTTGGTCTAGCAATACGCAGGAATCATGATTCAATTGTAAACATGAAGAAAGAAATATGGGCCACGCTTTATCATAAGATTTCTACGGATGACAACCCGCAGTACGATAGATGTCCAGATGGCGAAAATTCCTGGTGCTCATGGAAACAGGCTAAAGCTCGCAACGAACTTGACAATTATCAACACAAACCAACAATGAAAGATGAAGTTTTCAATGCTGTTAAACCCATTTATGAAGAATTGTGCCGCGATGAACTATTATCTCGGTGCTTGGGCGGGTTTACGCAGAACAGCAACGAGTGCTTCAATTCTGTTCTGTGGGCTCTCGCTCCTAAACCTATGTCCAGTGGCAAAAAAATCGTTGACATTGCTGCTGATATTGCAGTATGTAATTTTAACGATAGGTTACACAGCATTATGAACATTATGCAAACTTTGAACCTGCCTATAAGTCAAAGTTGCTATACTTTTTGTGTACAAGCCGATAATTATCGCATTCAGAGAGCGGAAGGTTCGATGACTGAAGCTGTTCGAGAGGCTAGAAGAAGTGGTATTTCTGCTCGCAAGCTTACCAATGAAGAGGATATAGATGCTGAAGGAGTATTGCATGGCGCAGGCATTGCAGATTGACGGTTAGTTGAAAATATTTACTAGTTATATCTATATAAAACTTTAAACGCGTTTTTCTTGAAACGATGTTTTTCAAATCGGCGTGTCAGATTACTCTTACAATTTTCAGCGGATTGACTTGAAACTTTGCACAATTCTTCCCCGTGGTATAATCTGACGATGTACGTAGGACTTTTGCTGTAGCGTTGTTATTTTTTTTTTGGTGCACAATTTTATAAACTTTTTTACCCTAAAAATTGACCTTTTTGTTAAAATGACCGCCATTTTCTTAAAAATCGAAATTTCGTAAAATCTCTATGTACAACATTAAAAAATATTGTTAATTGGAACATTCTTTGGTCTTTTTTCTAGGAGCCACGTACAGAGCGGAATTTGACACGCCGTCTAACAGTGTTCCTCCAAAGGAATGTATTTTGGCGCCATCTACAAGAGATTATTTTTGACTTTTTCAGTTTCAAAAAATGTATAATTACAGATTAAAGTTACATTAATGAATGACTAAAACCGATTTTGTTTCTGCGCACTCTTTGTATGCAAAAAAAAATTCATGAGAAACGCCTTCAAAATCGCAGTCAAGGATGGTATCCTGCCTTAAGTTCCAAGCCTCATAATTCGAAAAGTACTCGATGAAATGTAACTTTGTTAGAGTGTTTTGGAAAGCTTTCGAGATAAGCTATAAGAATATGTAATAAAAAAATAGTAGTTCCTATTTAAAAAAACATTAATGACCTTGGCCTGATTTTGACGAGGTCACTCAAAGTCAAGTCCACATTTCCGTCATGTGTCGTCCTTCAAGCCATGCAACTTTCGTTCGAAAAATTTTTTATTAAAATCATCGATAATGGACTATATCACTTTAGTTAGAAAAGTCTGGAAACAGTCAAATATCTCGAAAACGAAACATTTTTAAGAAAAATGTTTCCAATTAAAGTTGTAGGGTTTTAAAAGTTCTATTGAATGATCATATCCGGTTGACCTTGAGTAGAGGAGTCAAGGCGAGGTCAATGCCAACATGATTCTTTTATGTGAAACATCCCATTTTTTATCATACAGTGTTAAAGATGACGGCGAGACGTTTCCAAAATACTACTTGATGACTTATTTTTGTTGAGAATTGTCTGGGTTACGAGCTTTATAATTTACGGTGCCGCCAGCACTAGTATTATTCAGGATGTACCGCATGAAAGTTGCATGGTCGGACTTTACACCCCTATATGTGTGTGTGTGTGTCAGCAGAGATAAGGACTATACAGTAGTAGTGCGTCAATTTTTAACTGATACTTTCCCAAACCGATGGATAACAAGATGTGGAGAAATAGAGTAGCCTTCTAGATCACCAGATCTTTCTCCATTGGACTACTTCTTATGGGGATATGTTAAAAACAATGTGTACGGAACGGAACCTGCTAACTTGGCAGACCTTAGGGAACGCATACTGCACCAAGTAAATCTTATTTCACCAGAAATGAGACGAAACGTTTTAAATGAATTTCATCTACGATAAGGTTATTGTCAAGCAGCAGACGGAAGACAATTTGAACACTTAATCCAATAAAAACCCGTTTACATACACACGCGCATGCGCGCGCGCACACACACACATAGCAAAGAGGGTTTGGAGTCATTAAATATTGCGGTAGTGACGAACCGCGGAGGGACGAACCTTATTTTTGCTGACACATACACACGCACACACACACACACACACACGCACGCACACGCACACGCACACGTAAATTCTAAAGCTCATAACTCAGACAATTCTTAACAAAAATAGGTCATCAAGTAATGTTTTGGAAACGTCTCGCTGTCATCTTTGACACTGTGTAATAAAAAATTGGATATTCCATTTAAGAAAATTATGTTGGCCTTGATCTCGCCTTGATCCCTTTACGCAAGGTCAAACGGATATCATCATTCAATAGAACTTTTAAAACCCCACAACTTTGGTTGGAAACATTTTTCTCAGAAACGTTCTATTTTCGAGATATTTGACCGTTTTCAGACTTTTCTGAATACCCTGAATACATAAATGTATAAACAAATTTACCCTGCGTACTGTCCCAACAACTAAAATATCAGTAGCAGGACAGTTGTATAAATTAATGAATGCCATATTTCATCATGGATCGTGCATTGCAAGCGGTCATTACACAAATATATATAGAGAAGGTAAATCTGATTGGATTGAAGCTGATGATACGCAAATAAAAAACACTGGCCCAGAGGCGCTACAAATGTTTATATTCTTTTCATGGCAAAAATTTAACACGTTTATTAATAATATCCAATATTAAAAAAAAATATCTTTTTAAAAGTTATTATTATTCAAGAAAAACCTAACGACAAAAAATGTACGTAACATAAGTTTTTACAATTGTAAAATTTATTATAAAACTTACCTTTTTAAACAAAAAGGTAAAAAAGGCGCCAAGTACAAGCGCAACATGTATTGTGTTATTTTTAGAAATTTCAAATTCTAATTTTTTTTTAAAGGTATATATGTGTACATAACAGGTTTTTACAAATAAAACTTAAAGATAATATATACGATTTTACAAGTAAAACTTATAAAAAACTTACCTTTTTAACCAAAAAAGTAAAAAATGGCGCCAAGTACAAGCACAACACGTATTGTGTTATTTTTAGAAGTATCAAACTCAAATTATTTTTTTAATGTATATATGTGTACATAAGTTTTTACAAGTAAAACTTATAACTATAATAAAACTTTGCAACACTATTCTACTGTACAAAAGAAGTGATATATTAGAACAGTAGCGCCAACTGAGAAACCTAACATATACAGGGTGTTATAAAAGTCCCGGAAGAGCAGAATAACTAGAAAAATATGAGTCCTAGAAAAAATGCAAAGTACTGGGTTTTTATGATTTTTTCCTGGCTATCTGACGGTGACCTTGGATTTGACCTTGACAATGACCTTAAAGGTCTTTTCAAGGGCAGGTCAGTTTTTTTAAATGGAACCCTATACTTTTGACCCCAGAAATGAAAAGAGCGGAAAATTTTACGTTCGGATATGACCTTGAACACTGCCAAATTTGACCTCTGAAGGTTACATAAAGGTCTAAGCTTGTTTTAGGCTGAAAACGCGAATATCTTCGAAAATGCACCTGCTAGGGAGCAATGTTACGCATAAGAATAAGAATGTAGAGGTCAACGAGGAACATTCAACCGTGACCTTGCCCTTATTCTCAAGGTCATGAGTTAAGATTATTATTAAGGTCAAACCGGACTTTTTTAGGACTGAAAATCCATACTTTTGATCTAAAAGTGTCAAGATTGAAAAATTTTACGTTCGAATATGACGTTTTCAACCTTGACCTTGTTCTCAAAATTATGCGTTTTACGTTACTTCACTGATCGTGAAATCTACTGAAAGTAAAGCGTCTCGGAACCCGACCACTGAAGGCAAGGTGTCTCAAACACGATCACTGAAGGCAAGGTGTCTCAATCCCGGCCACTTGAGGCAAGGTGTCTCAATCCCGACCACTGAAGGCAAGGTGTCTCAAACCCGACCACTGGAGGCAAGGTGTCTCAAACCCGACCACTGAAGGCAAGGTGTCTCAAATCCGACCATTGAAGGCAAGGTGTCTCAAACCCGACCACTGAAGGCAAGGTGTCTTAAACCCGACCACTGAAGGCAAGATTCAGTTAGTCCCGGCCACCGAAGGCAAAGCATCTTGTAACTCGGCCTGAGATTACAAGAGATGTTCAAAATATTCCCCATTGACCGTTTGACAGTGTGCTAAGCGGACGTACAAATTGTCAGTCGTACTCCTTATCATTTCTGGAGGTATTGCAGCACATTCGTCTATAATCCGTTGTTGAAGCTCATCCAGGTTTCGAGGTTTAGAAACGAGAAGTCTCGGAAATCGGTCAATTTCTTCAGAATTCTGGTAGCATCCCTAAGAGTTCTATCGGTTTTCCTTATGACTTGAATCGATTCGAGCAGAAATGAAAGAGTCCTAGCTCATTAAAGTACCACAATCGTGAAGTTGGTCGTGAAGGTATAACTTTATTTCGTGGTTTGACAACTTTAATCGAGGGAACTTTTTTTTCATTGATAGAGAACTCTAGAACTCTTTGGGGTGCAATCAGAACTATGCTCATTTTTTCCAAATTTTCAAAATGTCGGGCTGACTTCACAGACATACCAGCATCTCAACCTGGTCCGTGCTAAAAGGCACTTTTCGAGTCATACAAATTTTTAAAAAAATAGTACAACGTCGGTGGTGCCTAGAACTCTTGAGGAAATTGTTCAATACGGTTGTAAATGCACGAAAAATATTTTACAATGACTAGAACTCTCGAATATCGACCTGCATCTCACCCTGGTCCGTGCTAAAAAGCATTTTCCGAGCCATATAAATTTTTTTAAAAATGGTACAACGTTTGTTATGTTTAAAACTTTTCAGAAATTATATAAATATATTTAGAATTGTATGGAAATTATCTTGGAGCGTCGCAACTCAATATACTTGTTACACTATGTTACTTTTTATGTTATTATAATCGATGTTTTTGGTTTTAAATTGCCAAACTCTTTGTGGAACTCATCTAGAACTATTGATAAAAATCTGAAAAAATATAATGAGGGAACTCCTATAGGTCAAAGTGAGACGTGCGTGAACTTAGCGTCTCAGTTTGTCCGGATCAATTTTTTTGCTTTAACGGCTGAAACTTTTTGTTTAGTTCGTGGGGAACTTTAGAACTATGGAAAATATAGTCAGAACTCTCAACAACTAATGAGTTTTCACGAAATAATACACTAGGTTCACACACGCAGGATCAGATGAATTTTATAGCTATAAATTATTTTATACGGAGGTTAGGACATCAGAACTATTGACAGAATGTGTTTAGACTATAGAACTCTGTGGAATATTACTTCTCATTGATCATATATTCGAAATACGATGAGATGCTATCAGGTATTTTGGAAGTTAGCATCTCATTTTTTTTAAATTAAGATTTTTATGGTAAATTCATCGGAACTATTGTTAAAACCTATCAGGAACTGTGGAACTATGCTGGATGCCAATGAATATACCGTTTTTTTGTGAGATGCTAACATTTGAGATGCTAGCTTCACACACGTATCGCGGAAATTGAACTTTGTACACTCGTGAACTAAAAGGTATGTGCACCGATTTTTTGTTGACTTCGGAACGCGCTCCAACTTGAGAAGAAAGACAACCACTGCTTCATACGTCAGTGCTGTCACTTATTACGAGAGCAGAAGGATGGCATATACGAGTGTCAAATAAGTAGTGATTGTGGCGTAGACACAAATGTCTTGGAGACTTTGAGTTATAATTGAAGAAATGAAGAAAACAAATAGTGATTGTGAAGAAAAGTGGCAAAAGGCTTCATAAAGTTTGTAAAACAGCATATTAAAGGAGAATATTAATTGTCTAATAATATTTTAAGTGAAAAATATTTTTAAATTTGAGTGTAAGTTAAAAAAAGTTATAAACCATAATTTCTTTAATGTTAATAATTTTATAGCTATAAATTTGCCATTGACGTTAAATGAATATGTAATGCTATCATTTACATAGGTGGAAAATTATGTTATTGTGCTCATAAAAAATAAGCAGCAGACCAAGTCGAGTGATATTTTTTTAACAAGATACTCATATCATTCAACTTGGTCTGCTGCTTACTTCTGCTGAACACAATAATATAATTTCTCACCTATGGAAATAATAGTATTATATGTATATTCATTCAACGTCGATGACAAATTTATTAACATTAAAGAAATTATGGTTTATAACTTTTTTAACTTACACTCAAATTTAAAAATATTTTTCACTTAAAATATTATTAGACAATTAATACTCTCCTTTAATATACTGTTTTACAAATTTTATGAAGCCTTTTGCCACTTTTCTTCACAATCACTATTCGTTTTCTTCATTTCTTCAATTATAACTCAAAGTCTCCAAGACATTTGTGTCTACGCCACAATCACTATTTATTTGATACTCGTATATGCCATCCTTCTGCTCTCGTAATAAGTGACAGCGCTGACGTATGAAGCAGTGGTTGTCTTTCTTCTCAAGTTGGAGCGCGTTCCGAAGTCAACAAAAAATCGGTGTACATACCTTTTAGTTCACGAGTGTACATTTAGTCGCACAAAGTAGATAGAATAGAATTAGTTATTTAAATATATTCAGAACTTTTCTGATTCGTCACGTTATAAATTAAGATGCAAAGTTCGTTAGACTCATTAATTAAACATTTTCGCAGAATCGAATAGACAATAAGTTCATAAATGAATATCACACCTTTAACCTTTTCTAACGCACTTCTTCTATTTTCGTCATGACCCTGTTTTTAAGAACGTCATATATAAGATGTGCACGTAATATGAGTTTAAAAACATTCTGTCGCGAGTGTTTCGTGACAGTGGTTTTATAATCGTATCGGTTGGCTTTTCACGTCTTCTGATATCATCGTTGAAAACAATATTCATCGTAAGTATATACGCTTGATTATATCAAATAAATTATCGTAATAAAAATGTCTACATAAAATATAAAAGCCTGATAAATATAAAAAACTGATTTGTAATAAACTTCCATTATACAGAGTATTAAAAACAGAAATAATACTTGTAACATTTTGCTACTTCATTTTTTTCCTGTTTTCCTTAAAATCTATCGCGCTGCCAAGCGATTAGTCGATTCGATGACATCTATATTTTTATATTTTTTGTAATTTGTAAAAAGGAAGTATCTGAAGCTAATGTTTGAGATTTTTATTGTAAACATGAAAGATTATCTATTGCAAAAAATCGCATTTGAGAAACACGTTCCACTTCTGATATTCCCCTTGCGAGTAAAAAGTCCTTAGTAAACACAAGCTAAAAAATCAACTACAACGTTAAGAACTACAAACATTTTTCGATTTTGGTAACGCGAGTTATATGTGTGCTTCTATTGATTACACACGATGAATAAATAAACGAATATTTTATCATATTATTAATACTATTTTATTATTACTTTATTTCTAATAATTGTTCCATGTGTCCTCCTATTTTTACACTGCGTATTCGAATGTTTTTTTTTCATACGTAGAAGCGTGCAATCAGCTGAAGCTTTATTTACACGTTTCTCGTCATCTTATCAAGGGTAATGCAAAAATTTTCATAGTTTTTAATAATGTTCTTTATTAGTATTATCATAAATGATATAGTATCTTTAACCAAATATTTTTCAACATTATTTATTACTTTTTGCCATCTTTCAGACAAAAGGTGGATGCCACGATAAATGAAGTCTGTTCTTAGAATGAATAAATTTATGGACTAATTGTTGCATTTTATCAACATTGTGAAATCGTGTGCCAGAAAGACTGTGCTACATAGAACGAAGTGAGTAAAAATCTAATGGGGTAATATCTGGAGAATATGCCGGGTGAGGTAAAACTTCCCATTGTAATTTCATTAACACTAGTAAGACCGAGGCAGCTAATTTGACTTCTCGCGAAATTCAAACTGCTATAACTTTTTTCAACTTTGTCTCCACGTGATATCCTTTTGTGTCTTTTCATCATTTATCATATTCTTAATCTTGGTATAAAAAATTTCAATTATGTAAGATGGTTAAATTTTTATTTAATTGTTTACCTAAAAAGACTGTTAGAGCCAATTTGGCTCTCTCATATTTGATATTGCATTCTCACATGTTTTATGAGTTTATTTATGAGTTTTATGATTTTAAATAGATAAATAAATATTTTTATGTGTATCTATCTATTTGTTCGTTTGAAAAACAATTATATACATACATATGTACACATAGATATACATCTCGCCGTTGGCCACTTCAAAGATTTTACAATATTTTGTTGCTATAAGTGCATGGATTATCTAATATTAATAAGCACAATGTTATGTAGGCATAATGTTAATAGAACACAAGACTTTTTTGTATCAAATTGTAACCGGAGGCGAAAAATGGATTTATTATGACATTCCCAATCGCAAAAGATCGTGGGTAAATCCGGGAGAACTCTCTACGTCATAGCCAAAACGAAATCTCTATGGTCATAAGATCTTGCTGTGTATCTGGTGGGACATGCACCGAGTGTTGTATTATGTATTGTTAAAACCACCACAGACTATAATCGTGGAATTATGCAGTCGATAATTGAGACAGTTTAATAAGCAATTGATCGAAAAACGGCCGTATTTTGCGACAAAACAAAACAAAATGATTCTTCTGCACGACAATGCCAGGTCGCATGTTGTATTGACGATCCGGGAAACTTTAACATTAGAAGGACCGGATTTGACGATTCCCTTAGAAAGACCGTAAGAGCTAATTTGGCTCCAAGCATATCTTTTTGTAAATTACAAATAGAAAGAAATGAAACATATAGGTAATTATAAAATTTAAAGTTTTAACAGTAATATCATTAACTTATTGAACAAAAAAATTGTTAGTTATATTGAATTTTTTTTAGTCTTTAGTGAAAAACTAAACGTGAAGTACAACGCCGTTATGTACTACAGAAAACGCATTTGTACATAATTTTCTTTGTACATTTACCGCATACAAATTTTTTACGCGAATAACATTTTTCAACTTTGTAGTTTATTTTGCAGTTTTTTTATTTGACAAAATGGTCGTTTGCCTAAAGCATCGTCGGATTCAGTTTCTTCTCGGGTTGTATTAAAATTTTGGGATTTTCGTCTTTGGGCAACATATGGCGCACTTCTAACTCTAACTCTTCCGCGAGATTTTGTAAAAAGATTCTTCTTGATTTGTTTTATACATAACTTCCTTGTATATAATCCATGCATTTATAGCAACAAAATCCAAAATATTATAAAAAATATAAACTGGCCAACGGCGAGATGTTATATATGCATATCTATGTATACATACCCAGATAGCCAAGCCTGCTAATGTCAGGTTTTGCTAAATGTATACCACAAGTCATGCTATTATAATTGTAGCATTAGTAAAGCATGATCTGCAATGTCAGACAATGTACGCAAAAGTGAAACAGAAATATAACAGGAAATGCATCATGATATGAAAGCAAAATTACCGCAAAAATCAGGTACAATATGTCAGCATAGCAAGATAAAAATTTAAGCACTGTATGCTGACATAGTATGTCCAATAGCAGCAGCACAAAATTGAATATAGAATGACCTTACATCGTGCAAACAGCAAGCAGTTAGAAATCAAGCTGAATGGGTAATATCTTGTGACAGGAGAAATAAGGCAGAAGTCGATCACGACGCGTCGTTCGAACGTAACAGCAGAAACACTCAGAAATCGTTCACGACGTGCAGTTCAAACACGACGACAGAAACACGGCAGAAATCATTTACGACGTGCCGTTGAAACACAACGGCAGAAACAGGGCAAAAATCGAACACGACGTGCCATTTGAAAGTAACAGCAGAAATGCAGCAGAAATAGGGCACGAAATTTTACTTTTTAGCGGTGCCTCCTTCACGATCTATATATATACTTACACACACTCACACACACACACACACACACACACACACACTCGATGATTTTGAAATTTCCAATAATCAGTAAGTTAACAAAAGTCAAGGCGCTATTGTAACAATATATTCTTGAGACAAAATAAAGCATGAAAGTCTAGTACCACTTTTTCTTCCGACAAATAATTAGCGAGATATCGTAAGTTAAATACTGAAAAAGTTATCAAGTTTTCCTCAAATGTCTCAAAAAATATTAGACAAATAAAAAAATGTTTCAGACAAAAGTTGTTCAAATTAACTAGTAGAAAAAAACAGTGTAATAAAAAATAAGATTCCCCATTTAAAAAACGCAAGTTGACCTCCAAATGACCTTGAAAATAGAGGTCAAGATCATCATAAGGTAACTCACTTAAATCCCTACAACTTTTATTCGGATTATTTTCCTTGAAACTTCAATACTGAAGAGTTATTTGGAGTGGGACGTTAAAATGGGACATCCTGTATATGTAAAGTCGTGGACTGCTTTTTTTCGATGCAGTTCGGAGCATAGCCGAATTGTGCAATAAGAAATCTTCTCAAGTAGCGGGCACACGTCATGTTGGTCATTCGTCGGTCATGTTTTGGTCTGATCTGACCAAATTTTGATGTCAAAATGTACGTATGTTTACTATTTGAGTTGTTTGATTGGATTATCAGCTGTGTTCCAAACTGCATCAAAAAACAAAAAAAACAAACAACCTTATTGCCCACGACTGTATGCATATATAATTGTAATATTGATATCAAAAACTTCTTCTCTAGTACTGCAGTTTTTTTTTTATGGTAACGCTTACATATTACATTATAAATTTGAATTTGAAATTGCTCGTCCTGAGGAAAGTCACTTATCAAGAACAAATTATGATAAATACACAATAATACGTTTAATTTAAGAAAAAATGAAATGTATATTATTTTACCCAGACGCTGTTAGCAATAATCGCCACTTCAATAAACCTAGCTGGACGGAGTTCCAGATGTATATGCGCGACGCTTTGCGGGCGACAAAACAACGCCATAGGATGAATATCCGCGAGCCATGTGAGCGACGTACAGCCCGCAGGTTATGGGATGACGAGCAGGGCGAACCGCAGGACGAAGCTATAGAAGCGCCTAATGAAAACAATTAAGTACGTGTTTACATTTTATTTAGATAATTTCCTCATTATGTCAATAACCCAATAAGTTAGCAAGCACACGTCACTTTGACGTTCAAATCTGGTCAGTTTGGATCAAAAAATGACCAAAGCATGATAAAAAATAACGTTAAAATGATGTATGTTTTCTATCTGGGAAATTATTATTACTTTTCCTACTACTTAATTCCTAATTCTGCTGTACTGTTCGGGTCTGAAATTATTCATCTAAAATTATTTTTATTTCTCTGTTACACCTTGTTAAGTGGAGAGTAAGCGTTCTTACGTTTCATAATTTGGTTTCACAGCACAAGAATATTACTTAATATATATACGACAGAACTCTTTTTTACCGCATAAAAATTGAATAGACAGATAAAAATGATATTTTAAATAGACTTGAACAGAATAGCAAAATTAAATGAAAGTGCCTGTTTTATTATATATCACTGATTATATTATATCTTTATGTTACAGTGTATTTTTCATATACGCTAGATGACACTTCTTACAAGATGTCGTGGAGTCATGGACCTAAAAGAGAGAGAATAAATATATATAACATAAGTATTACATGCATGCATATGTAAATATATATATATATATATATATAGGATATATATAAATATATGGGATAGAATAAGTTTAGCATAAGATTTATCTAATTACGTGCCTGAACAACGTTTATTTGGCTCATATTTCTTATTTCAGTTCTTATCAGATGTTTCGATTTTGTCAGGCACAACTTCTTCTGATTCGTTTTCAGTTACAAAAATTTTAAGTTTTTAAATATTCCTATTCTTCCCCTTTTTTGTTTATTAAATGCATAGGATAAAGAAGCATGAAGCACGTCAAGATTTTTTTTACTTTTTTATGTAATTAATAACATGAAAGTTTTAATTTTTCTCTGTCAATGTTTTGAAAGGCTTTTTATATTTGTTTTAATATTCTCTTTACCATCCCTCTATTTTTGTTTTTCTATTTTTTATACCAGATCTTCCACTTTTAACTGTATATTCTCTCATGATGTATAATGGAATTATACATCATGAGAGAATATACAGTACAATGATGTATAATGGAATGGACGTAGAATGGATCATGCGGATCTTTATCTGAAGATGACATTATCTGAAGAGAATGTTTTTTATAAATATAGTTTTTTAAGTAAAGAGAGAGAGAGAGAGAGAGAGAGAGAGAGAGAGAGAGAGAGAGAGAGAGAGAGAGAGAGAGAGAGAGAGAGAGAGAGAGGAGAAAAGAAACATCAAAGTAAATTTTAATAACATTTTATGTACATACTGTGACGTGGCAGCCGCGGAGGCGCCCGTCACAAGATGGCGAGCCCTATACCGCGAGGCGGGGGGGGGGGGGAAGAGGTCCTAAGGGTTGCGAAGGACCCTCCCCCGAAATTGTAATTAGCCCTTATTATTAGTAGTAAGAGCGCACAGGTGTGACGGTCCCGCGTCCCCGAGCTTTGTGCCCCTGGACCTCCTGCGCCGACCATCAAGACCGGAGGAGCCAGGAGGAAGAAGAGGCGTCACCCATCGCCAGGACAGCCACCTCAGATGAATGCTCCTCCTTATCTTTCTTACTATCGACTCCCGTATCGCCTCAAAAGATTCTCGCTGCCGTTTTCGTTGTCCACAGGCCCGTAGAAATATCAAGCGAATATATCGTCGCTCCCGTGCTCGAAGCGTGACCGCGTGCGTGACAAAGCCGGCCTAGGCGCACAAAGACAGCGGGAGCGCGAGAGAGAGAGAGAGAGCGCGCGAGAGTGAGACCGAGCATCCGTCCCGCGGATCGAAAACAAAGATCCGCGGAAGGATTCCCGTATTGGGAGAGAAAACGAGGAACGGGGAGAGAATAGCCTCGAGTCAAAATCAACGAGAAACAAGGAAGAAAGGATAAAAACTGTTTTTGGAGGAAATAAAAGAGCGAACTACCGTTTTCGCTCTCTCTTACATCGTCAGTCTGCTGTCGACTATTACGGATCGTTATCGCTTCTACTACTATCGTTATCGCATATCACTGAGAAAAGAGTTTTCGTCTACTGTTATCGAGAGCTAAAGTTTGTGCCACACTTGCCCAGAATTACCGTTGGTGGCTGCGTTGCATAGGAGCGAGCGGAGGAAGGAGGTCGAAGGACGCCGCCGGGAGGTTCCCGACTGTCTAAGACCGTCCACTTGTTTTTCTCTTTCGGTGTCCCGTGCGTACCGTGTCTCGGACTATTTGTGAGCGCAGAGCAAGTCTCGAATTTGCGAGAGCACATAGCGAGGTGTATCGTATCGAGGGGTCGGGCCATACCGATTCCCGTGAGAATAAAAGTGAGATAATCCAAACGCGCAGTGCTACTCTTGTATTTTCCCGATAACTTCCCGGATTCCCGATCGAACCCTCCCGTCTACCGACTCAAAATATCAAGGAGCTGCCGGTCCCGTCGGATTCGCGTGTCTCGGCCATTTGGTGGTTTTCCGTTTCGTGTTGGTGATCGGTGCAGCCCGCTGCACCTGGCGCCCAACAACTTTGGTGCGAGTGCGAGCGGCCGGGGCGCGGACAGCAATTTGCCGACGGCGAAAGGAAATCACGTCGCAATACCCTATCGCAAGCACGTAATTAGATAGCATTTATCTAGATAGTAAACATAGTAAACATAGTAAACATAGTAAAATTATACTAGATTGTAATATTATATTAGCTATATTATATAATAAATTTTGTAAAATTTTACAACATAAAATAAGTTATGCTACTTTTACACATACAGGATGATTCGTCGATATACAGTTCAATACGATGGATTGTCCATCCGTCGTACTGAACTATATGTTGATGAAACACCGTGTACAAAATAAATTGCTTTAAACAAATTTATTGTAAATCTTTGTAATACCTACACTAAAATAATCCACCAAATGAATTTTGTGTGTGTGTGTGTGTGTGTGTGTGTGTGTGTGTGTAAGTATATATATAGATCGTGAAGGAGGCACCGCTAAAAAGTAAAATTTCGTACCCTATTTCTGCTGCATTTCTGCTGTTACTTTCAAATGGCACGTCGTGTTCGATTTTTGTCCTGTTTCTGCCGTTGTGTTTCAACGGCACGTCGTAAACGATTTCTGCCGTGTTTCTGTCGTCGTGTTTGAACTGCACGTCGTGAACGATTTCTGAGTGTTTCTGCTGTTACGTTCGAACGACGCGTCATGATCGACTTCTGTCGCATTTCTGTCATAATGCTCTAACAGCATGTTGTAATTGATTTCTGCCGTTTCTATTTTTATTCGATGATATAACACGTTGTTTGTTATATTTTCTATATTTCTGTTGTCATACTGTGACAACATATCGTGTTCTATTCCTACTACGCTTGTGCCGTCATTGGTGAAGAAAGTAAGCTGTGATTAGAATGTAACATATTTTCGCAGTCACTGTATTAATGCATAAAGTGATCCGTTTCTGTTGTATTTCTTATGACATACAGTAGCGACAGCTCTTTGCAGAGAATATTAAGCTTAATGAGGACACAGTAGCTTGGAATCTGCTGCAAAGCCATGATCAAATCTGCTGGCATACTGCTAGCATTTTGCTTTCTGGGTATGTATGTATTATATAATTATTTTTCAAGCCAACAAATAGATAGATAATATAAAAATATTGATTTATCTATTTAAAGTCATAAAACATAAATAAATCCATAAAACATGTGAGAATGCAACATCAGATATAAGAGAGCCAAATTGGTTCCAACGGTCCTTCTAGATAAACAATTAAATACAATTTCAACCATATAATTGAAAAATTTTTTTACCTTTTTATAAATGTAGAAGAGCAAGCACTATTTTTTAATCATGTGTTGTCATTTGAGCATATTGGCTCAGGAGTGATCGTGCTACCTTTGTATTTCTATATTCATGACTTCCAGAAGCAATGTATCTTTAAATTAAATCATTACATAATAAAATAATTAATATACTTACGATATTATAATATATAATTTCGACTGTGTGCATCTCCACAAATTTGACACATTGACGATATACAATAGACTGTAAAACACTATGATTCGCTATGACACGCAATAAACGATTGAAACGCGATTTTTGGTGTACACACTCTTCGCGCGTTATCGACTGCAAGCGTTACTAGTACGTACCTTCTTATGTTAGAAATTGGAAAAGGACAATTCCGACGACGACAACGTTTCTTATTAAGAAGTTTCACATTTCCCACTATGCATCGTAATAACTCTGATCCTAGGATACGTAGTGCAAAAATAAAACTACTTTCATTATATAATTCAAGTCCAAGCTATCGATTAAGCTTAATGTGAAATCAATCCATTCAGCCGTTATTGAGATCCGATATCGGCGATACTTCCCAATTAGATACGTCGCGTATAAATACATGGTCCGCCTCGCCGTTGCTGCGCGTGAACTTGGCGCGAGATACGACCGTGTCTCTGATTAAATAAAATTCTTTCACGCAGGAAGATTGCTCGTAGAATGTAGATTGTAGATTCACTCAACACCTCTTTTGATCGTTATATTTGTTTCTGTCCGAAGAAGTAGAAAACATTTTGCACTCCGTCTTCTGTACGAAAAGATCTGTTAGTGGGACGAAAGTATGGAGGCTAGCGGAAGATATAACTCATATGTAAAAGTCCCTCCGGGTGAAGAAATTGTGATTTCCGGTATCGCTGGTCGGTTTCCTGATACAAACAATATGAAGGAGTTGCAAGAAAATCTCTTGAACAAAGTGGATCTCGGTTCGGACAACAATCGACGGTGGAGTAATGGTAACCACACGAATTACATTCTAAGCAAAAGGCAAAAAGAAAAAATTAGTCGAAATTCAGCAGATTATATTCTTAGTACAAAAAATGAACGTTTAGAATTTTTATAGTTTACTATGATATGCCAGCTCGAATGGGGAAAGTTAATAATGTAGACAAGTTCGACGCGCAATACTTTGATATTTCACCTGAGGAGGCGCATGTTACCGATCCCATGTGCAGGATGTTGCTCGAGCACACCTAGGAAGCGATTATCGATGCTGGAGTAAATCCCAAAGAATTGCGAGGGACAAAAATTGGTGTCTTCATAGGATCATGTTATTCTCATACGATCAACCAGATTCTCTATCACAAGACTCAAGTACAGTGCCTCATGATGTTAGGGATATGAAAGAAGTTCTGATAACGATAATTGGCCTTGTTTCCAAATTTAATGGTGCCGGGACTTATTAAATCTTTAATATAGAAAAATGTTAAGAACGTTGCAAATGTTAAACACCAGATAGCATCACACGGTTAGACGAGGCTATTAAAACAGTTAATTCACGTTGACACACACATTGTTTGAGACTTTTTTTATTATAACTAATAAAAAGTTTATTTTACGTATACATACACATACATAAGCTCGAACATATACATGCAGAGGGTAAAAAAAGTAAAGAAATAAGAGATAAAGACTAATATGAACGTAATTTACTTCCAATTAGGCAGCTGGATACCCAATTATTGGCTGCAATAAATACTGGTTGGCGAACAGC